GGCTTGAGGGGTGGCTGGGGTGGCTTGAGGGGTGGCTGGGGTGGCTTGGGGGCTGGTGGTCCCCTCACCTATTAATGTTGTTGCATCAAAGATGATTGTTAGAAAAACATTCCATTGATAAATGTTTGTAGCAATTCGCGCCTTTCGTGATAAGCAGGTCTAAGAAAAATAGAACTGACAAAAAATGAATTAAATACGTCCTTGATTGGATATAATAATCCACTCATCATCGTCATTAAAAGTTGTAGAAAAAGGAAGGACAACTCCATTTTCAAATGTGGATTCCAGTGAAAGCCACCAACATGTGGCTACAAAATCTATAAATGTAAACAAAGTGTGACTGTATGTAGAAGTGAATAAGATACTATTGATTTCTTCAGTTTCAATCGATATAACTCATCAACAGCGCCCATTTTTGAAAAAAACAAAGCGCTCAAGAGATACCTATTTCCCGCCATACTTCAAACGAGACTCATTAGGATAAAGAGGCTATTGACTAGCAGCCATCGTGACAAATCGCAGTCGCTGGTGACGAAAATCACCAGTGGGTGAAAGTTTTTGGGGAGGGATAGACTAAATCTGGTCCAAGTGGATGCTATGACGGCAGTAGAATCTGTCGTTTCAGCGTCATTGTTAAACAAACGTATATTAAATTTCAATTTGGTTGAAAGATGAAGCCAATGACTGGAACTTGCCTGGGAACAGAAATGGCCTAGAATCAAACGGAAAAATTGGCCTTAACAGTGTGAATTTTGAAAGAAAAAATTGTCCGTCTCGTAAGAGAAAACCCAAATTATCAGGCAGTCATATGGCTCACACAAATCATATAATCAGTCTTTCAAACTTTTGTTTTCCCAACTCCTCTTTGTCTGAAAACCAAGAAGAGATACACATACCACTATTTTCGCAGAAAGAGCAATGCACAAAATCCTCTGGTAGGCCCTTCTTGTTCGACTCAACGCCCTTCAAGCAGATTCCACAAAAAGAATCATTTTGAATTCCAACCTGAAAAACAAGTTTATTTTAACTTGCATTTAAACATCACAAAAATTGCATCAACTCAGCTGCCTAAATTGGAAAAAATCACAATCAGAATGAAAATAACACAGTTTCTCTCTATTACCGGGACGAGGCAATTTTAGAAGCTGAAATAAACTAAGAACAAGTAAAGCGGACACAAAGAAGTTGGTTATTAAGTATTGAATTTGGATTTATCATCTTTTTGGATTTGCGCATGGTTCTATTTTGATGTAAATTTCCAAAGCTGCACATTCAGAATAGAAATTTGAAGCAACACACATTTTTCGAAAACTTTTCCAGTATAAATGCCACAATAGATTTTCAATGATAGCTTGCTGTCCAAAAGGAGACACTAGGAAAAAGTCCTTAAAAAGAGGCCACGAGTAGGTCACAAAGAAAATATTTGCTTAGTTAGCAGTAATAGAAATGCTTGCTTTAACAAAATAAAAAATCATAATCATTTCCATTATAATAATTTCCTCAACTGTTACCTTATTTCTATGTCTTGGTGGGCCAGTATTATTTTTGTCTCTTAGCGCTCTTTTAATAGGAGGTCCATCAGAATCTGAGTTCCCACCATTATCCGAGGAGCCTCCTTCATCATCACTGCTGCTTTGGGTGTTGGAATCTGAATTCTGAAAATACCAATTCACAAAATACAGCCACTATGCAAAATACGAGCCTCTCCCTATATTGGATGGAGGGTATGTTAACAAACCTTCCCTGGAGGGAAAGTTAATCACATCTCGCTAAGGATTAATCATTGTTTGGTCATTCTTATTCAATTAGGCATCAAATATTCAGTTTAAATGAACTGAAACGAGCTTCTCGCTACAACGCTGCTCCAAATTTGAAAACTTTGTATTTTGCAAATCCTGTAGATGTCATTGATAACAGTGCTTCAGTAATACTAATACTCTTGCTCTTAATTAAATTCAAGAAATTAGATGTTGCGATTTCCAACGAATGAATTCTCTTAAACTATAACGATTCTTCAAAATTCCTATAAACTGCAAATTTATCCTAACTTTTGTCTGCTACTTTACATGGATTGTAAAAATATGTGTTTCATATTGATTTAAATATCTAATGATCAGAGGAACTTCAAATTAAAAGGTTTATTGTTGTCACTGAAGTAAGATGAGCTAGCCTGAAATGACTTCAGCGATTAATTTAAATGGGAAATGGTTTCATGTTAAGAAAAAAAAGACACGCAAAACAACATCAACGCCTTACGATTTGACTGTAATCGCGCTCAATGTGCATTTGGTTGTTCCTACCGGAAGACCATTGTGCAGTTATCGTTGAAAGTGGCAAAGATCGCAGCTCATCTGGTGAGTATCTGGAACATAAATTGGGATAATAATGACATAGCTATTTGAGTTGAAGGCTGGGATACGCTTGAATATATCTTTAACGTGTTGCAATGACAGCTTTGGAAATGCAAAGCAGTTGTCTGGGTAACTCTATATAAGTTTTCTAAGCAGCTGCGTAAATGCAACTTTGAACTAGACGCAAGTTAACCTGGCCGCTGGGACGCAGAAAACGCCGGGCGGCCGAAGGTATTGGTCACACCTGATGACCATGCATGTGATAGAAAGGGAGAGTTTTTATAACATTTCACTATACACTTTGCTGGCATAGCATTTTAATATCAAAACATGGGCAGCAGAAAAAATTGCAAGGCACTGTAGGTAGCTATGCAAAGATCCACACGATCTCAAAATATAAACTGCTTGTATAAAACACACAGATGTCAGCAAAAAAATATTTTTCTCAGGAAAGACTAAACATTTCTACACATTTCCTATTCTTTGGTTTTCCCAAAGACGGCAAATTAACACCATTTCGCGCACTGCAATTTCTGATTATGTCGTACAGGCATCTCCCAGAGTTTAAGGGCCTGTTTCCATAGGCGGGATCCATCAGAACAATTACCTGCATTGTTCATCAGCTATTCATAAACATGACTTGATTTGATGGTCAGCTCGGTCAGGTGAGATCCACGAAAAAGATAGACGGATCTCGCCCGACTGAGAACAATCAACCTTTTTGTTGACTTTGATTTTACATAGAGGAGGCTAGCCCGGTCAGGTGATACGGAAACGAAAGTTCAACGCGTGCGCAACTATAACAAGCTCAAGCCCAACTGTTTTGGTAAGCTCAAGTCAAGACGGCTGCGAATCAAGCTTCACAAAGATCAAAACAATCTAGAGAAGACTGGAGATCTGTGGACATGTGTTGGGGCGTTGAAAACAAATATGGAGTTTCGAGGATTTGAATTGCCTTTAAATCAAAGCCAGCTTGGACATTCAATGAACTGTAGCTTCATAGCGAAAAAATTAGAGAGTTCTTGAAAGGCTTTTGTTGCTTGGTTAATATAATTTTACAGACTTAAGGTAGCTGGTGTTTTACAGACAAGACTGAAATAGCTGGTGTAGCAGCGTTTGTATTTGCAGTCACCTGAAGTGATCCAGGGTCTTTCACGTGATAAAGCCCCAATGCAAGTTTCTTTCTCTGCACTCAAAGCTCAATAATTTGGAGAATTCGGATCTGGGGCTATGTGAGGCTTCAATTCTGCCAGGCTGGTGGAGAATTCCATGTAAACGCTCGAAAAGCTGGAGGACCTAGCCGGGCTAGCCCATCTCTATGTATGTAAACAGCCCTAAGTCTCCCAGCCTGAGGCGTCATAGTTTTTCAGAACAGACGTCACAATATGTGTAACAAATTTAAACTACAAAAAGAAACAATATTTGTATACATACATTTTAAAATATTCTTGAAATTGTCCAGGCATTAGAGAAACAGGATGCAGATTTCGTTTTCTTTTTTCGGGGCTGACTATTTTCTGAGCTTTCCTCGGCACTTGAATACTCTATAAAAGCAATGATTAGTATGTTGATTACGAAGGCCAGTTCTAGAAAGATAAAGATCTTTAATGGCTGACTGACAGTTTCAAAATAAAAAACATGCGACAATGGCGAAAAAGCTATTCAGATTAAGCCCGCTCTTTATACACTGGCTGTAGTAGACTTTATTGGAGCTGAGAGCGGGTGGCACTTTCCTTGGAAATTTGGGGTTTTAGGATGTAGTCTACGGGAATTCTACAAGAGATTTACAAAAATAAAATGAGTAAGAAATATTTTATTGGTTTTTTTACACAGTTAAACAATTCTAATAAGACATGGTGCGCTAAAAATACATGGATGGGAAAATGGGGCAGCAGTGTTCCCTTCAGCCGAAATAAAAAAGGGTGGAGGGTGGTGTTATGTCGGCATGAAACTAGGAGAAAGAGGCAGCTGGCATGATTATTGTACTACAACGCTGCAATACATTTTATATAAATGCAAGGAACTATGTATTTAAAAAAATCACCTAATGTCAAACGTGACTTGAATTGAGAAATTAGGTTACAATGCAGTTATAGGAAACGGGTAACTCGCTACGTATAGCAGAGGACCTTAGAAACACGATCCTCGACACAAAAGCTTATCCTGCAAAGCTGATTATGTATCAGATAGGATTGCTACCATTTCAGTATCAATATTATAATTGAGCAAAAGTTTTCAATGAAAACAGAGAGATCAAGCAGTCGAAATCTAAGTCACTCATCACAGCGTGGCAATGATGAGATCAAATTTTAAATATTGAAATGGTAAAAATTATGTCCTCGTATTTATTTGATATGGGGACACAATAGTTATAACAATATTAAATGATAAACAAAAACAAAAACAATATAAAATGATAAACAACCAGATACCCAGAGCCAAAAAAAATTTATTCTAAAGTTTGTTTGTTGCTATCCCATAACCAGGTACGTTCTTCAATTAAGAATCCCGCTTAATAAAGTTGTCTATGCTTTTCATAGACTACTTATGAACAAGGTGCTGACAACGTGTATACACAGTCTGCAAAATAGCATTAGCTTCAACGCAAGCGAGTTGGCCAACTGGAAACAATCTACTTATAAGACATACTTTTATGGTCATAAGGCATTGTTAGCAGCGAAAACAGGGAAACAATGAGCTACTTTTGATCGGATATTCAAGCTAAGACAACGGTTTACATCTGATAATATCAATATCCAGTTGAAGCCGATTAGGTCCTCGGTGTTAGAGCGAAGCATTTGAATGAGCAGTCGTTGAAATGGCAAATTCAGTTGAAAACCACACATCTGCTGTTTCTAAAAATGATACGATTTACCTGATATTTGACAATTCTAGAAAGTTTGTTGTGGGAAAAGCTGTGGAATTTCACTTTGCAACGGCAAGCGAAGATTTGTCCTTGTTAAAGATAAATGTACTCGGACCGTCAAGATGCAAGATAAAGCACTATACACTAAGAGATGGTCTGTATGGGGTTTCATTTGTGCCACTTAACCCTGGCAGCTACATGATCATAATCAAATGGAATGGAGCCGAGATATCTGAAAGTCCTATCATATGCAGCGTAAGTGAAAAAGAGCAATTTTTCTCCAGAAGACCATTATTTCGACGGGCTAGCTACGCAACACCGTCAACTGCACCCCTTCCAAGAAAGTTTAGGACATGAACAACACGTTGTGAGGAAAATGACTGCCAAGACGAACATAAAGCTCTTTGCAAATGTATTTACAAAAACATTTTTCGACATTTGTATTTAGGTAAAGCAAATAAGCAAGATTTCAAGGATGCAAGACAAAGCTTGTTTCTATTTCCTCGAGCATGAATCGATGATTACCAGTGTTGTGTGTTTGTATCCAGTATCAGGCTTTCACACGATCAAGCAAGGGTAATTTATCTAGTTCGACTCGATGAATGTTGGCCTACATAAACGGATTGGATTTTTTGGAGCTGCATTCATTTTCTATATTTGTTTGGGGTCCTATAAGTTTATTGTCAAATCTTGAAAGTGTGATTGACAGCCGGTCTAATCAAATTTGAAACATATGCATTTTTTTAACTATAATATCAAAGCTTAATCAGCAACATGCATCAATGAATAATTTTTTAGAGAAACCATCAGAGTAAAGAGAAATTTGAAGTTTTTAAAGACGAAATTACTTATGATATTATATCATCTAAAAGTAATGCAGTATATTACATTCGCTGGGAAATTTTAATGCCGAACATTGCTTTCCACGCAAAACAACACAAGTTGAGATATGGTCAATGCTAGGGCACCACGAAAAGCATCGTGATGCTGGGCCAACAAATACTCGGAATTTCATTCAGCTAACTAGTTTTAAGACTTGGATGTTATCAAATAGAACCGTATTTCCATAAAGGAGATTGAGAATCCAAGTAATCAAAACATACCTCGAAATTGCAAAAATCTAAAACATGTATTAACGGATAACCGCAAGCAAAACATCAACTCTTGGCACCTAGTCAATAGTAATGTACGCTAGGTTAGAAAACAGGTTCAGTTTTGGCTGCTAGTAGGTTGACTTTTCGAGGTGCAAATTTGCAAGTGAGATTAAAAAAAGGCTGCGTGCTCGATTTCTTGGTTTTGCCAAATGAGGAAGGTTTGGACTGCATGTTTGGATCCTGAAACTTGTGTGTAACTACAATTGGGTGCAAGTTTCCCAACCAGAAATCTAAATTTTCAACGTCTTTTCTAGCATTAAAGCAAAGGGAGTAATCTGAGACAAAAACATTCATCTAAAAGTCAGAAGTCCTAAGTTCTAATAAAAGGTAGCATTGAAACACTTACCTGAGTTTGCATATCAAAATAAGCAGATCGTTCTTCCTTTCTATCCTGGTTTAAATGTGAATTGTACTCAGCAGCATCTTTAATCGCCTTTTTTACGTAAGAAGCAACTTTGCTTGAATTTTTTACCATCATCTGAGAGTGCTGGTTGTCTATAATCTTCTTTCTGTCTCTTTCGTGTGCCATTTGTAAGTACTCCTAATGTAATTAGCATGAAATTAGCATTGGGCTGAAATTGGCATTGAAAAGACCTAAGTCTGAGAATGCATCCCTTGCCACAAAATTCAGGGCCACTATGTTCATATTGGTTTTCCAACAACTAATTAGATTTTGCAGAAGGATTTCTAAATTTATCATGCCTTGTTCAAAAAATCATTTAGAAAGTCTCATTAAGGTTTCGAGACTTCGAGACTGCCAAATAAAAGTTGCTCTTTGCTACTTTCTTAAAAGTTGCTTTTTCTCAAATATTAAATATTTTGACCCTTTTGGTTTCAAACTATAGACTAATGTCTAATGGCCTCACAAAAATGGTTTGAATCTCATTGACTGTGATGCTCTGGAAGGAGATTCAGAAAGGGCCTAGGCATCCCGTGCGGTAGGGCAGAGGAGGGAATAGGCAATTATAAAGTCTAGTTTTTTAGAAAATATAATATTTCCAGGTGATAGCTGTGTAATTTGTTTGGGCAAAATAATTGGCAACTTAAATATTAAAATGAGTCATTGTGTTATTAACGAAAGCTTTGTAGGGAGTAAATTAGGGGGTGGGCATCTTTAGCGGTAGGCCGGTGGTGGGAAATAGGTGATGTTTTACGGCAGATATTTTACAAACTTTTCGTATTCTGCTTGGGGCTCCGATATTTGAGCCAAACAAATACTATAGAAGCTAAGTTTGAAAAAACTTCTTTGTAAAAACGTAAATATTTTTCCCTGCCAAAAGAATGGGGGTAGGTTTTGCTCCACAGCAACTGTGTTTTTGTTTAAAACAATGAAAAATCAAGCTCAAACTGGAGAAAGGTGATTGGCTAATCGCATTTTGTAAACAAACCTGCTGATTGGTCTAGAACAAAATGTGCTCTTGATAATGTTTCCGGTAATCTTCAAAGTTTGCGGTACCAAAAAAACTTATTAAAAAATTAGTTCATAATTATGCGAGTCCAGATATAAGCTTGAACCAGCTTCTTAGAAAAATGACGGATATGTCTGAACTTTGTAATCATGAAATTGAACAAATGTCAAAAATATTGCAGGAAGCTGCCTACTTAAAAATATGCAATTCTATTAAAAGCAGTTTTCAAATATCTTGGAGAACTTATAATAAAGAGAGGACACTGTTATGCCTAACCAAAAGGTTGGGCTTATAAATGACAGAAGAACTTATAAATGTTACTAAGAATATATGAATAAGAAGAAGGTCATATTCTTCATTTTAAGTCAATCTCTTCTGTGAACGAACTTTGGAACGTACAACCATGCTGATTTCATTGAAGTATTTAGGCGACTCAAAAAGCAAGATTTATGCTTTAAACAGGCACTGCAAGAATTGGATTCAAGAAAGTATGCTTAGTGAAAATATGAGCAAGTGTCACCAAAGGGCAGGACTCAAACCTGTTTCAAAACTGTTTGGGTTTTGAAAACGTGACTGGGTGGCTCAGTGGTAGAGAAACTAAAAGTTGTAACACACACAATAAAGCTAAAGGCCATTGCACAACCGGCATGCTTAGCAGCAACTGCCTTGAGAAATTTTCTCTGTTATGCATTTTCATGCAGTATGATACTGGGCCGGTTTTGAATATATAGTCGCAAAGCATGCCGGTTGTGCAACAGCCTTTAAGTTTCAAGGCTCAAAAAGTGAAACATTCAGCAAACCTGGTATTTTTTTGGATACTTTTCGGCCAGTAATTCCACAACATCTTCACTTTTTAATGTGATAAAATCTAGAATTTAAAAGTTAACAGAAGTTCAGTTCTTTTCATTGTTTTTGTTCTTCTTACAAAAGACAGTAAGCAAATTAACATTAATCAATAGAAATCAGTGGATATTTTTCTGCTCAACAGTTGTTATTGTGCTTTATTGATATGAGACATAGGATTTGCTAAGGGACTTTAGCTGGGGGTTCTACCTAGCTAGTGTTGTTAAAATGTGCTGACTGGGAGGGGCTTTTAAAGGACCTGATATGAGGCATGTTCACAAAGGAAGGTTTAACTGAGTGCTTACAACAAAACTTATTTCACATCTTTTTCAAGTTAATGGTTGCCATATCAGATAACAAGAGCAAATCAATGGTGACGTTAACAGAATCTTGAATATCACAAAAATTTTAACATATGAGCGCAGTGAGTCAGAGAGTCAGAAAATAACCATCAGAGCTCAATGACTTATGATAATAACATTTTGCAAATTATTATAATTATGATACTGATGATGATGAACATAATGGCTTTTTATGATCTGGTAATAGATAAAAGTGTTAATCGTAATCAGACGATGATGATCATGGTGACGATACCCTTAACCTTATTTTGGGAATTTTTTGCGCTTACTATCTCAAAACTTGACATGGTAAACATCTCAAGCACAGAAAATTATAAAGTTCATAACTATTCAGAGAGAAATAGAGATTTATACCATCTTTACACTGGTCTTCTGTGATCAGACCATTCTGCAACAAGAAATTCTTTTCTTCTTTTGATACTGGTCGTCCTTGGACTCCTATTTTGAAAAGATATGATTCAATAAAAAAAACTGCAATGCCCTGGGAGCATTATATTTAGAGTAATCATCAATCATTTTGTTATAATCAACTTTGAAAAAAGTAACATATGTGTCAATAAGATCTTTAGCAGGTGTGCTGTTATTTGTCCACCTGACCACCACAAGTTCTACAAAATTTTCTACAAGTCTAATAGCCTTTTTCAGTTTTTTCCAGTCTAACAGTTTACCAAGTCATCCTTTTTTGTTTTTAGCGTAACTTTGATTGTTTCCATCTTTTAGGACATCAAACAAACTGAACATTTTGCCAAAACAATCCTCCCATACCCCACTGTCAACTCTAGCCTCCTGGCAACATTTCTATCTATACCTAAATTAGGGTCAAATCACTTTGTGAGTTGAAATGAGAATGACAAAGGCAGTGATTATTTGACAATGCTGGAACATCTGGAGCAAAACTCTATTACATCAGACCAGAGTTTACTTTTGATGAGTACTTTTAACTCTTATATCTACAGTCAACTGATGAACTAATTAAACAAGAAATTTCAGGGCTTTCAATGGGGGGCGGGCAATAGCATTCGAGCGTGCAATCACGCACCTGAGGCTACCTTTGAGAGTGATTAGCAGTGCGCTCAGTGATAAATATTTCCCTTGTTGAGAAGCAACTTAGAACTGTCCTTTTCTATACACCATAAAGCATATATACACATCTAAATAGATAAGGCTGTAAGGTAATACAATAAATTTGGCTGGATTACTTCAAAATTTAATGCTTACCTAATTTCATTTCCAAGGGGGGTGAGTCCAAAAAGGCTGCAACATGATCTCTTAAAATGAAAAAACCACCCTCTTTTGAAGAAGGCCATTGGTACTCAACAATATTTGATTGAGGTAATTTCTCCATTGCTCCCTTTTTCGACATTCTTGTAGGTTGGTAAATGATTTCCCAATGAAGCTAGAAAATAACAAATTGGATTCAGCTGCAGCATAACATATCTTTCTGACATGAGCTTAAAAGTTTAATGTGCAACAAATTCTAAAATATATCAATAGAAGAAAACAATGAATTGGTATATTGAATTACAATATTATGTTCTTGGATGGGACCTTTACAAATGGATACTGGTACATGGAAAATTTAAGCTGAAGAACTTTTGACCAAAATAAGACTCAAATTTTGAGCATTCCAATATAATGTATAAGAACTGAGGCTAAGTTTTTCAAATGGCGCATACCAACTTCAATATGTATATTTAAATTCTATCATCAATTTTTGGCTAATATGAAGACAAAAAGTTGATGATGAAGACAAAAATCTAAGAATGACTAGTTTGTCCAAACAATCTAAAGCTTCTACAATAAAGGTGAGCCAAGAGGCTTGATCCACTTTTGATGCATCAGTCAAGATTTTTGCTAGAACCACCTCTAACATAACATATGGCACATATTTAACTATATTCAACAAAAGAACAAATTATTATATTACGCTCAGTAGCGTAGCCAGGTCGATAAGCTTGAAAGGAGCAAAGGCAAGATGAGCAAGGAAAAATTGGGGGTCCACACCCTTTTGAATGTCAGAAAAGGCCCTTTTTAAAATTTTCTTTGGACATTTAGGGGAACCCTACCTCCTTTTGCCTCCCCCTTGCTATACTATTGGTTGTGCTCTTTGTTGAAAAAGCAAATCATTAAGGTTAAGCATAGGTATTGAAAATTTAAGCATTTAAGTTGGGTGGTCGAGCTGATTCTTTTTAGTTTCATTGTGTGGCTAAATTCTAGCATATTTTTTCCAATTTTTTCCATCTCAATAGCTCATGTAGAAAAAAGTTTTTATATTTAAAAGCATTTTCTTTAGCGGTTCTTCTTGGAATAATATATAGCAAATAACTGCAAAAAGGAGAGAGATGGGTGGCACATGTTACTCAAAAGAAACACCCTTTGGCCGGTCTGCAGAGTATGGCACTTTTCGACGAGATCTCCGGTGTGCACGAGCAAAAAGCCTGGTGTGCCGGTGTGCACCACCAAAAATTTATGGTTTGCTGGTGTGCACCAGCTACTAAATTTTCCCTTGTTGTGGTCAAAGTTTTCAATTTGCATTTCACCGTAAAAATGCGAAGGAGCCTGCCTCACGTGCCTTCTTCTTTTGCCCACCCTTTCTTCTTCTTGTCTGGGTCATTCCAATAGAAGCCACAGAATTATCTATGGGACCACACCCAGCCACGCCCATATTAGTGGCCACACCCAAAAATACCCGGTGTGCAACAGGTTTTGCACAAATATATATCCGGTGTGCACATGCCATACTCTGCAGACTGGCCCTTTGGCATGCCATGGCAGTACTTTTTAATGTTTCTGAAATGGCTGATGATATGAACAAGAAATTGGTATCTAAGTAGAAAAAGGAATGAAATTTCCAAAAATGATTCTTAAAATAGAATTTATTGCCATGGTGATTTATAACATTTATATCTCTGCGTTGTTGACTGAGCTGTACCACCAGTCGGGGTTGGATTGATACATTTTTCAACTACCAATTTTTAAACATTTCGAGAGGTCGCAACTTTAGCTCATTTTTATGTACGATGATTTCTGGGTTCATTATTTATAAGGTTTGGCGGGAACTTTTTGAGCTCGATTAGATTGGATTTCATTGTAAGATTGCAGTCTGGCATTTTCTATGGTCGTCAATTCAAACTTTGAATGACAAAGCCATGAAGCTACAACAATTACCAATTGAAATCACACCAATAAACTTGAATTCGCTACTTCCAAGGATAGAGGAAGTCTACCAAAACAATAACTACAATGTTGACAGTAGTAGTGTATTTGAATGGGCCTAAAATTAAATTTTTTACATTAATGCATTTTATTGTTTTCAAAATATATTGACGCGAACACCTTTCTAGCTCTGCAAGAAAAGAATACATTCGTTACCTTAAATCACCAACAGTCTACATTCAAATCTGTTCTCCGTCTTCAAACTCAACTGTCAAAACAAAGGAAAGGTGTGCACAAAGTTCTATTGAAATGGCCTCGTTTCCAAATGCTCGAGATCCTCTTTGTCAATTTTCAAAAAACAATTATCAATTTTGAAGGCCATGTTTACCTTTGTGATAGGGCTCCAACACAGGTTGAAAAGTTGGGGGGCCAAGGGGAAATTTAGCACCCATTACAAAAGATTTTGAAAAAAATTACCACTGGAGTCCAAGAGAGAAAACGAACTCCTTTTGTCTACACAATGGCGGCTTTTTCTTTAAGCACGCGGTACTGACTGGTCAACTATACCGGTCTTGTCCTTGCGTTTTTTCTGATTGGCTTATTTCGATACACAACTGGGTATATATTTTTAATCGTGTTCTTTCGGACCTCTATTCTAACGTTTTATTCTCTAAAGAGTATAAGACGAAAGGAGTTAAGCATGTTGTGACAAGTTTGCTTTTTTTAAAGCCATTTTCAAGTTCTGTACCGCCAAAAATTTCTGACATTTTATGCTCTGAGGAGTGTCAGACGAAAAAGCTCTTAGCCAATATGATGTAAAATGTTTGCTTTTATCAAAGCCTTTTTCAAACATATCTTTCGAAGACGTTTTAGCTGGTCTTAGAGATATGGTCAGAAAATTTCTCAAACCATCCATTGAACAATTTTGAAATTTGCTTTTGATCTTATCAATCATGCTCTTTGATCCTGCCCAGGAGCCGGAGAAAAGTTTTGCAAGCCTAAACCTTGGTTGTTCTGGTCACAGCAATGTATAAAAGTACATAGCGGAAACCAAGACGCTCGTAAAGAATAAACACACGTGTTGGCGTTAAAACATGTTCAATGCAGTACGAACGTAATAAAATACCAAATGTACTATACATATTAAAATACGATTGCATCGGATTGTAATGGACAAGTACTGTACTGTGCTACATAGCTTGTGGCAGCAAACTTAGATGGGTTGCTTTTCTTCCAAGAATCTCAGAACAAGGAAGGAAACTTTCGTTTAGTCCGTGACACTTGATTGGATTTCCGACAGCCAGGATTGAGGGTAGGAGACTGGCATTATCTTAAGACTTAAGTTTCCAAAGAGAATCATGAAATAAAAGGTCGCTGAATCATATTTGTTTCATCTGTGATGCGAGAAACACGCTTTTAAAGTATTTTTTCATGGGCCAAAGACAACATAAGCTTAAACTAAGAGTAAATCGACAATTTTCGAAATGCGTAATTTTCACTTTTGATCCATTAATAAAACATTAACAACGAATTGGAAAACAATTATAAGTTACTATCTAAAACATTTTTTAACAATTTTTTCTGGCGAAGGTGTAGCAGTGAATGTAGACGGTAGTTCTGTGTAAAATGTTCCGTTTGATTCACAAGAGAACATAGAAGTGTTTGGAGAAGAATCTTTTTTGTGTCCGCGAGCTGGGGCACGTTTTCCTCTAACTGCATCAGTTATCTTTGGAGTTGGGACACCGACCGGTTGTGTTGGCCCAGACGTCATGACGTAAGAAGGTGGTTTCTGAGTCACCTCAGATGAGGGGTAGGACAACTTTCCTCTTAACATGTTTTCTTTACTGTCTTCCGTAAAGTCAGCTTCACCATATCCTAAAAAATACCCCTTGAATGCATAACATTAAGACCAAAAAACAGCTTTACCATACAAGATGATAGAAGAAAAACGCGTGAGATTAGTTGGGAGAAAATACTTACTCAGCTAGGAAAAGGTTCTAATTGCAAAATCACAACTTGTTTTAGGTAAATGACTTTCACAACGAGAGAAGCATTTGATAGGAGACGCAAAAAGGACAACAGAAAATGGGCACAGAGACAGAAGAGACAAAAGAAAAAACGGCTTATAACAAATAAGATTAAGAAAAGCCAATGGGTCAAGCAAAAGAGAAGAGAAACAGAAAAGAAGGAAGGATGGAAAGAAGGAAGGACAAAAGAAAAGAAGGTAGGAGACAGAAGACGAAAATAAACGAAACTAGAGATGACACAAGACAAACTTTTGCATATGAAAGGAATTTCGTTTCCAGTTTGAAAAAAGCTGTTTCAACTACTTCAATTTCATTCAATAAATTCAACAAAGATAAATATCACACCTTCGTTATCAGCTTCTTTCAGTATTTGCAAGATTGCCACTTCTCGTCGACCCGACTGATCCTTCGCGCTTTCAGCCTTCAGACTTTTCAGATATCTCTTTCGAATTTGGTTAATCAGCTGTTTCTTTTCCTTTGCAACTTCGTTTCTGAAGGAAACAACCATCTTTACGCCACAGAAACTATCGAGATCTCATCAGATCTTTCTATTCGAAATTTTTAGCGCTCACCCTGATTCCCCTAAAACACTCAAAGTGACCTCGTTCAAGAAAACAGTTATTGGACAAAAAGAGATTTCTTTGAGCTGAGAGAAGAAAACAGGTGGAAAGGTCTCTCAGCTAAAGTGAAACAGGCTCGTGTATATATTAATTCAACCTTTGCAATATGTCAATCCATTTATTTAATAATTGACTTGATGTAACAGTTTGCAGCGTTAGATAAACATATCTGTTCTTCGGATACAACACATACGACAATAAATATTTATATTTTTGGCCATGAAGTTCTATTTGCTTGCAATCTCATAAAATTTAGAATAACAAACAATTAATTAATTACAACACGATACCAACATGCAATGTTTCGCTGTCGGCTGTAACTTTATTCTTTTAAATTTCAAGAGTTAAAATCGTCAAATGGGCCTTATTCAGTAGAAGGGGGAAGAATTTCTTAAACTTCCTCTATAAATTCTTTTTCAGCTTTCTGCACACGGAAAGACCAAAGTGTAGAAAAGTCTTCTGAATTTTGTGAATCATTTATCGCTATGAGAAGCAATAAGAAGACAAACGTAAAGAGTACCTGATTCGTGTAGATGCGTTTTCTTTTGTCTTTGAGATGTGTTTTGATACATCATCCTTAATTTTTTTAACAGTCTCCAAGTAATATTGTCTCATTTCTTGCAATGCATTTGTGTTGTCCAGGCCAGTAAGATCCGTCTATAAGGATAACCAAAGGTAAATTCAAATGAAAAACTCGACTATGATCCTTTCCTGAAGTTACAATGAAACCTATTCCTAGTGATGGAGGAAAGGAAACTGATAGGAAATGAAACGGTAAGGTATTCTAAGAATATAGGATGAAAATTATTACCTGGGTCTTGAAAATGGTTTGTAAGGCAAATAAAAAATAAAGAGCCATTCATACGAACTGACGTTTCGGCAATTAACGATGAAAACCTATTTCAATAATTTTGCCCTCCGGCAACCGACAATGAAAGTCCGTCAAAAATGGTATAAGATAAACTGCAATATAGAAACAAATATGCTCTTAGGCCGTAAAAAACCCTTATCTTTAGCGAGGATTGCATTTTTGTCTAGCGAGGGTTGCACCTACAAACCTGCGTGAAAATATGTTTCGCTACTGCGCAACTAGCAGCAGTTTTGTTTCCTCTCACTGTGACCATATCAGCTTCAATTTTAGAAAGTAAAATTTCATAAGGAGGCGACGAGCCAGCTACCATGACAACGTGACTCTGCCTTGCACCCTCGTTGTAACCGATTTCAGTACTGTTCTGAATCGTCGGAGTCTTTGTGCTAGGCAAAACACGAGAAAGCGGAGAAGTAAACCCAGAATCCGAATTTCCTGAATGATCCGTATTTGTGTCTAATTCGTGGCTTTGGGTATGATGTCGAGTCGATTCAGCTAACGCCTTTTTATCTCTCCTCTTCAAAGCATTTTGACCGCTGAAACTACTTTCTAGCTCCCATTCTTTTCTCGCAAGCTTCAATGTCTTTTCTGTTAAAGTATTGTGGTATTCTTCCAGTTCTGATTTTTGCTTGTCAAGTTTTTCAGCATTTTCTTTTCTCAACCTGCGAACAATTTCTTTGAATCCCTTCTCTAAGTTCGCCCTTTCAGTACTTGCTTTTGACCTTATGTCGCTAATCGCAGTTTTTAGAGCAAGTTCATGCTCCTTCTGCAAATCGCCGAGTTCGTTCCTCCATTCACTTTTTGCCTTTTCCAATTCCCGCTCAATCCTGTCTTTGCTATGCTCTGTTTCCTTTTCTTTAACATCGACCAGCCTCGCTTCCCAGTTCTCATTTAGTTCCTTTAAAGCTGCCTCTTTCTCGTCATTCATCTTTTGTTCCAGTCTCACCTTACAATCCTAATATGAAAAAAACTTTCCATTTTGAAAATGTGCGACATAAATGAGAAGGATGATTTGATGCAAAAAGGGTCTAAATTTCATTTAATTCATCAATAAAAATTTATTCCAAGGTCAGGAACGACAACGAGAATCCAATGCTGTTTAATAGAATTGGAAAATAAATTTGGTATATACTTGCATCATATAATGACTTATTGCAAGATTCACAGAATCGGATGGACAGCGTCCTTCTGCTCTTCTTCCTTCCATATGTCGTATATATGATAAAGAGTCTCATGAACAAAGCTTAATCCATCATCTTGAATATTTAGTTAATCAAGCGAAGAGAAGTCAACGATCATAAAAGAATGTCATCTCAAATATGCGGAGATGCTATAAACCGCACAAAAGTTCTAGTTAACCAACAATAGCCTGCTTAAAATTGTTAAAAATCTGCTCGGTAACGACATGTTGATTTTTCCATTTTTCGACCTGTTTTTGGAGTTAAGAATGAAATAAAATCACACAAGGATAAGACAGTATTCTTAGACAATCTAAAAACACGAGGTCTTTAAATTTGTCAAATGTTTTTTCTTCTTAGTGTGTAGAAGCGTGCAAGAACGAAAAGAAACAAAAATGTTAATTCAGTTTCTCTTCTACTTCGATATCCCCCTACTTAATTTCATAACCTCTTCTGCTACCTTTCCAACCTATATCTCCCACTTCAACTCTCTTCTCTCTCGCTCACTAATCACAACAACAACAACTCGCGTTCCAGTCCCTCAATACTCAAATCCTCACATTGAAATGATGCAGGTATACCTGCAGTAAAAATTCGCTCGAAATATCAGGTATGATTTGACAGGCATCTTCACGAATGTAGAACGTTTATCTCGAATCTTCTTTCTAAATTTACACCACATGATCATGCAATACCTCAGATATTGACGTGTCGTCATTTTAAAACATTTATTATTGAACAATATACTGACATGCAAACGGAGGGTGGTAACTTACCTTAATTTTCTCGTCTACAACGCGAATTTGTTCCTTTTGCCACCATTCCTCTAACGTTCTAACCTGATCCTCGTATTTAACTTTCTGCGAGTTGAATTTCTTTTCGTAAACACTTTTCACATATGCTATCGATTCTTTCAGTTCAGAGTATACATCTTTATCATTTTCCTCTTGAACTCTTATTTTGTTATCACCATCAGACATTTCACTAATTTCTTCTGCAAACCCACGAAGTAGCTCCGTTCGAATTCGTACGCTCTCTTCTTTTAAAATTTGCTGTTGTAACGAGTTCCGCTCTTTTTCCCAATTGGCCTAAAAGGAGCAAAAACGTTTTAGAATCTAGTGGATGGAACACAATATTACAACATCCGTCTTTTTCATTTCGTGAAACTTCAATGGTAGGCTCGATTGCATTGATTGTAAATGTTTGCAAAATACTTGAATATTAGGCCTAAATAAAAAATATTAATTTGTCTAAATAAACATAAACAACTTATGGGAACAGCAAATGACAGATTTAATTAACTAGTATGCAGGGTAGAAAAAAACGATTTATCTCTAAGCAGCAAAATATCCAGCAACCCCAATAAAGGTTTCTTGCCAGCGAGATTATTAGGTGTTATATCGTTGAAAAAAGTTTCCCTAAAGCTAAAAAGTTTCAATATATGCCATTGTATTAAAAACTAAAATCTCAGGAGCCAGGAAGAAATTCCTAGCAATGTTCTCTAACGAAGTTAGTGAAAAGCGGAGATTTTCTCGGAGTTAATCCCATTACACTGAAGTCCAATCCTATTCACGTACTTCAGTGGTGAATCAGTTGCTAATTGAAAAGAACGGGTACTGATATCTCAATGCATGTCGTATAAAAGAAGATTTTTCCGCAATTTTGACACATACTGACACACCGTGTTTTCGCTTTGGAAATGGTGAGGGAATTCAACCGTCTGGTCGTTATCACATCATTTAGATGAGTATGAAAACGACATTTATCATAACGCTGTGATTCACCAAAAACAATCACAATTCATTTGAAAGAGCACAAGTTTTTTAAAAGTTTAGAAAGATGCCATTAAAGATCATTTTCATACTTGTGCAAACGAAATGGTTATTTAGTTACTTGATACAAATATGGCTTGCGGGTTGGCGTGGCGGCTCTTAATGTGGTTGGTTGGCGCGGTGAGTTGGCGTGCGGTGAGTTGGCGTGCGGTGAGCTGGCGTGCGGTGAGCTGGCGTGCGGTGAGTTGGCGTGCGGAGAGTTGGCGTGCTGTGAGTTAGTGCGGTGAGTTGGCGTGCGGTGAGTTGGCGTGCTATGAGTTAGTGCGGTGAGTTGGCGTGCGGTGTGTAGACATGTTTGACAGTACTTGGGACAATTGCGAAAAGAAGATTTGTGCTCAAAGCAAACAGGGGAAATTACATAGTAATAAATCAATTTTGAAATGACATCAGTCTATAGTTTTCAAATAGGACTTTGCTTCCATGAACCCTATGACAATCAACAATAGCAAAGTACTCAATAGTAAATTCCGGGCTTTTCATTTTCTATAAAATGAAGCAGTCTGTAAGCATCAATCTAGAAAGCGGTATCTTACCATATCTTCTAATTCCTTTAGCCTTTGAATTTGATGCTCTTGTTTGAAGTTTTCTAAAGCCTCCTTGATTGCCTTCTCTGTCTCTAAACGGGTAGCTTCCTCCCATTCTTCTCTTGCCCGCTTTATAGCAGAATTCAAATGCTTTTCATATTCTTCCTGAAATTCGATTTCAATTTTGCCATCAAACTTGATGCCCAATACAGCCAGTATATCATAAGTAAGTTTTTCAAGTAAGCAATTTCTAACATCAATGAAACCAATCGAAGCACCGATGGCCAATCATTTTAGAAATGAACAAACTTAAAAGATCTAAAAAAACTTTTCTTTCGTCTTGTGTCAATAAGCTTCATTCACGAAACTTCACTACATCAAAAACTCTCCCAACAAAATCAATGATGTTTTGGAGAACTTGATCGGGTTGCACAAGGGCGTTAGGATCTATAACAAGGGGGCTGGAAAATGGCTTCTGTCTTCTGTCAAACCAAGGCCATTGGTTAAAATTCATGTATATGAAATATGGCTTAAAAACAACATTCCATAAACTGAAAAAGAATGCATAGGAAATATCTTTGATAAAATGACAAACGAAATGGTGGGGTTGCACAAATTCATACGTGAGAAAGGCCCTGGGTACCACATCAAACGGGCCCAATACTTAGCGAAAGGCATCGTCGACTCCAGTGTAAAATCCTTTCCGATTTTTGGCAATGTCAAATAACTTCTAGGCTATCTCCCTAGAAAAATTTTAGCCAATTTATAGCATATGTGACAGACCAAATTATTGCTAACTTTATAAAACCATGTTAAAGTTGATACAATCAGACCTGTTTCTCTTTTTCCCATTCAAATCGTAGCGTTTCTATCATTTCTCTTCTTCTAAATCCCTTTCACGATCGAACTTCATCTTGGTTGCTTCAACAGTACGTTGAATAGAGTCCGATCTCTCCTCTTCGTATCTCTATAATAACGAGAAAAGAGTGTACCGTTAAAGCTCTATCAAGCCCCCCGAGGTGGGCGGGCTCAAAGAGGGGGCTTATTAGAAAAAAGGGGCTTATTAACAATTAAAAATAAAACGTATTATGAAAATACCACAATGCTATTGGATTTCTTCGAAAGAATCAACAACTTCTAAGGCGCATGTGAGAACCTCTACGAAGACCACCTTTCAACCATCTTACAAGAACGGACTTACCCCTGGGAGGAGAACTCTTTTAGTTAGTTTTTAGTGAGACAGTTCGAATGACGTTAGGAGTTGTAAGAGATTTTGGTTTTTCATGAAGGTTTGCGTTGGAAAAAATGTGTGTTTTGCGTGCTTGTTTCTTTATTCCGAAGCTGATTGATTTGCACTCGAACCGGGCCACACGCACAAGGAAATCTTTATGCACATGATGTTATCATCATTACACCCGTCAAGAGGCCCACTCAATGCGCATGTTTTCTTTGTTTGACATCAGGAGCTAAAGAGGGGGCTTCATAGAGAAGGGGCTTAATAGAGAGAGGGCTTAATAGAGAGAGGGCTTAGTAGAGCTTTTACGGTATTTCGATCGACAAACTAAAAAAAGGGGCATGGCTTAAAACATAATAACGCAAGCTAACACAATAAAACAGAAGAAAGAAAATAAAAGAAAATATAAAAGAAAATGAGAAAATAAGCATACAGCGAACCACTCCACTTTAGCCAAAGCTATTGCAGTTTCGATTCTGTGTTTTGTCTCTTCTTCAAAGTCATCTTTCAATTTCTTTCGCAGTTCTTCCACCTGGGTGTAGCTTTCTCCTAACATGCATTCTTCTAGTTTATGAACCTCTTCTTTATGTTCTTCTGTTAATTTTTCTGTCAACTACAATTTGCGAGTACCCATTACAAAACTGTAATTACTTTGTCGAGAATAGTTAACATATTGGCTAGATATTAATTAAATTGACAGGTGTTCTTTAAGGTTCAGTGATTTTCTATAACAATTTAAAATTTAACAGCTAATTAAAACAACACATGATTAGTAGCGAGTATAAGCTCTTTTGAAGACGAGTTTTTGATGAAAGAGGCTGTTGGTATGCACAAAGATTGTTTCATTATTTTTCATGCTATTTTAACGTTGAAACTTTGAACTGCTTACCCGTATCATGGACGATAAGAGTGAAGCTATTCAATAAAGTCTCAATCCATCATCAGTACAGAATATTTTCATATTGAAACAAAACGTGGAGCAAGAATTGTCAAAAGTCTTCATAAAAATATTGGAAGAAATAACATTCGAAAATATTTATACCAACCAGTTTTTATGAAGAATTGATGACTTTAAGCTGTAGTCATATATAGATTTGAATTGTAGTACAGAAAATCAAAATAAATTTTCTTCTACTAAATATAATAAAATTTGTGTGATTCTTTTTAGGAATACAATTTCAGGGCTATCCAATAACTCGAAAAATACCTCTTTTAGATGCAGTGCATTCTCTGTTTCACATTCAGCCCTGACTTGTTCAGATATTTCCCTATTTTCATTGGCAAGGGAAACATATGAGTCTTTTACATCCAGAAGTTCCCTTTTAAGCCGTTGGATTTCATCCCTAAGGTCAAGACAAAATGTTATGACTCGGTGGCAGGGAAATTGAAACTTGCAGCAAAGGACAATGCGATAAAATCAAAAGAAGGATTAGACAATTTGAAATTCAAAATCATTGACTTCTTTTTATTCCTTGTTTATAGCACCCGTTTGAAATGATTGCAGAAACGAAAGAGATCAGCGTTACAATTGATAAAGAAAAGCAACGTAGCAATATCAAAGATCCCTGTTTGAAGGAAAACAATTGCTGTAAATTTAGAGATGAATCATACACACCAAAATCTTTAATTAAATAAAATAGAGATTTTTCAAAATGCAATAAAACCTTGACTACAGTAACAAGATATCAAAGATTCAAATCACGCAAGCCTTACTTTAACTCTGTCACTTCTTGTTCATGCAATAAATTAAGTCTTTCCTCGAGATGTTGTTTGGAATCTTCATTGAACTTTGTGTAAGTTTTCTCGCAACTGTCAGTGGAACAAACAACAATCAAATGCGTTACAGGACATATATCGGCTTATTACTAAAGAGATTTGTCCTATTGGAATTCTCAATTTTACAAGAATTAATAAAAAGGAATGTGAGAATAAAAGTAGGGGTTTGGATAATTTTCCAAAAACTAAAAAGCGTAAGGGAGACGAATATTCGAGAGTATTTTAAATACAGGGCACTGTGTATTTGACTCAAAATATACTTAAAATCGAGAAAAATTTAAAGAAGAAAAATATTGAAAACAAACCTTTTAAGAGCATCAATTTTGTCTTTGTCAAACTGTCGAATCATCTGAGGAAAATAAAGTAACGTTAAAATAGAAAGGCATAATAGATATTGCTTTCTGGCCAATTAACATTGATCAGCTCGAGGAAATTACCTATAAGATTACAAATGACATATGTTATCTTACCTACATCAATGCAGGTTTGTGAAGCCTCAGCACTTGGATGCACCATAAAATGATTATCAACAGGGTTTATATAGATATCATTAACCACCCCAAAGTAAATAAGGAAATTTAAATATCAAAATTGATGACGCATTTTCATGGCCCTTTATCAGATGGTATTCAACCAAAAAGGAAATTTTAAAACCAGCTTTAACAGTTTCACAAGAACGCTTTCAATTTGAATGTTGCAAAGGGGAAATGGAAGGAAACTATCATAAAACGGTGTTATTATGAAACCTTTACTTGGAATGCATAAAGAGTGTAATGAAGTTTTGGCATATACAGACAGCAGTTTAAAGGCTTTTGCGCAACCGGCATGCTTTGCGGCTATATTTTCAAAACCGGCCTAGTATCGTACTGCATGGAAATACAAAACACAGTCGATTTCTCAAGACAGCTGCCGCTAAGCATGCCGGATGCGCAAGAGCCTTTAATGATCTTCCAAGTCGTCAGATTGGCTTTGGGGTTACAGATGAATCCTCCAGCTTACAAACTCTTCCAAGGAGGTATCAATGTAGCCTCGTGTAAAGTTATAAAGTAATAATATATTGCATCCATGAATGAATATGACACAGCTTGCGATGTAGAAACACTATGCTGTAGAAACAGATACACACCTCTGACATTTCACTTCTAAGCACAGTGTTTTCGCTTTGCTCCTGTTGAAGCTGTTTCTCCAAGCTTTCAACTTTGGCTTCAGACAGCTGAAATAAGGAGGAAGAGTTTTCTCAGTTCTGATTAATCAAATATAAACAGTCATAAACATGAAAGTTTATATCTAGTTTACTAGTTAATAACTGCAAGCGAAGCTTTATACATCACCTCTAGCTTTTGTTTGAGAGCAGAAAGTTTTTCGTTGGTATCAGGTTTCTCCTCAGAAACTGAAATAGAGTCATTAAAGATTCAGCCGATTTTGAGGCAGTTAAGTATATGATAAAGTAAAGCATTATGTCGGTTTACAAAGCCAATTGGGCGATATTCCTAAGATAGATAGGCCAATAATCAAAGTGAAAAAGAAATCGGAAGAAAGAATAGCTAAGACTAAATGAACGTTCTGAATTGGCAGTCTGCAGGATTCTCTGAATTATGCAATGAAATAAAGATTAAAAATCGTTACACAAAAACCAAAACTAAGACCCCGTGCACACGAGAGCGGATCAGTTTGGATCCGTTCCCAAACTGGTATGGATAAGCTTTCCGTGCACACGAGAACACTTCTATCCGATCTAGTATGGGTCTGCTATCCGTACCAGATTGGTACAGATAAAAAAAACTTGCTCGTTTGGGTCCGATCCACTTGGCTCCCGTGTGAAAACCTGGATCGGGCCCAAACAGGTACGGATAGAAAATCAGGCTATTTTTCTGGAAGATTCTTCCGAATTTTCTTCATGTAGATAGGTCTCAATAAATCTTTCTGTGATGTTCTCATATTTTGATCGAACTGTCTCCCAGTTCAGTGCATCAGCGAGCTTTTTGCTTTCATAATCAAGAACAATTATCAACAGCAACGCTGTTTCATCGTCTGTCCAAATAAAATCTCTCGTTTTGCTGCCTGTGAAAACTTTTTCTTGCAGTGAATAAACAAATGGCGCAAAAAATTTACGTTCTTTGTGTAAATGCTGTTCTGTGCGCATGCCCTTGACCGTGGATCCACTTGGATCCGATCCCATGCGCACGTAAAATATTTTGGGCTCGTTCCTGTGTGTACGCAAACAATATTCTGGATCAAATCCAGTTTGGTAACGGACCCAAACGGATCCGCTCTCGTGTGCACGGGGTCTAAAAACCGAAGTTGTATAAAATTAGCAAAATGGCTTAAATCAGAGCATTAAAATGTTCGATTGAAAGCAGTGGTATTTATACGCTGAACAGCTTTAGGAATTAAACTTTATTGTACGAATGAAGCTAGGTTCAGACTTCATCTAGTAGCGTGACTGGCATATAGATCCCTATACTGTATATTTTAGCCTCAAAGAATAAAACTTTTGCAGGTAAACATGATATGAACCAAATCTAATTTTGGAGCTCCGTAGTAGCGGGGCTATGGAAGAAGGCAACGGGCAGACAAAACTTATAAGTTTATAATAAATGCAACAAGACTTAAGCCAAAGACTTGCTTGCTATTAAAATAATAAAAATCTGCTGTTAAAAATATAGACTTAGACCCAAATTTTAATTATCACTGCAACTTTACGCTTGCTACTTTAAACAAATTCAGTATAGATTAAGGAGGTTTTGGGTATGAAAGATACACTGAAAACGTAAACAACGTGAAATCTTTTTAAAAATTCATTCCAATGAAAATCCAGGGCAAGCCCAACCTAATGATTGGTCTTCCAAAAAGGTTCTTAGGTCGATTCTTTGGACCACTAAAGTGTTTTAATTTTGAAAACCAGACGCTATAATACTTGATATGAAATAATCTTAAAAGAAAGGGATAAACGTAATTTACTTTGATGTTTAGTATCTTTAAGCCCAACTGAGATGGCGTCGTTTTCTGCCTGAAATTGAAAAATACTAGTGTTTAAACCTTGAAGTTGGCAAAACGAGAGGATGAAAAACTTAATAATAGGAAGTATCACAAAAATTTGCCAGAATCAATGAAGCAGTTAGGCCTGTACGTCGATATCTTTGGTTCTAATTTGATTGTTATGGTTCGAAATGGTCAGCTAGGCTTCTTTTGCAACAAAAAGTTTTGGAAGATAAATTTGTTCATGTATATATCAAGAAAGTGATGACGTGGCAAATAAAAATTCATTATTGGGAAGAGAATTGGAAAATGCAGTGAAAATAACTCATGGAAAATTGTGAAGAAATGCAGTGGAATTTTCACCAATGATAATCAAATGAGTTTTGCGAGGCTGCTAAAAAAGGCACATCACCTCTTCTATTTTCAGTGATAAATTGACAAAATGCCGTTTACAAGGGCATAGATTGTCTATTTTGGCAAAAAGCCCTACATGCTATAAAAGACAAAACATTAAAATAAATGACTATTTAAAGGGGGGTCTAATACAACAACTTGTTTTAAGTCCGCACATTTCAAAATGGATGCTCAAGCCTAGGGCACACCGCAGATTTTTGTCGCAAAAAACGAAGATTTTTGTCTCTTACGACGAACATCTGTAGTGTGAGGTGTCAAAATCGAAAGATTTTTGTCTTTTGCGATAATTTCTGAGATCAAAAGAGTTTGAATTTGTCTTTAATATTGGCAACCAAAGACACAAATCGTGCAGTGTTCGGAGCCGAAAGACAGGCAAATCATTATAAAAACTAATTAAACGTATATTATTGGTTTACGTGACTTTTCTTTGAGCTTTTTCTCGCTAAAAAGGATAGCCCATGGAAACTCATCTCACTGGAAAATCATAGCAAAGAAGGGGGGAAATCCGAAAACAGTCGCGCTGTGTGCGGACAGCATCTTTTGCGACAAAAATCTGCTTTGTACGTTAAGCTTTATCAAAAAGGAATATATACCCAACGCAGATCTTGCTTTTGCACCAGCTTCAAGGAATCCCTTACCATTTTTGTAGCAAACTTTTCTTAACGATATTTCTTCACGATCTTTGAGCGAAAACACCCCTGATTGCAACAAATGGCATTCGTTATGTTATATACAACAATGCGATTCAAGACTGATTTTCGTCATAAAAACAACTTTTTACCTTCAAAGCTTCATTCATCATCTGTATTCTATTCTTATCTGCTGATAATTCCTCTAATTGCTCTTTCAAAGAGTTGATTTGCATTTTGGCATTGTTCAATTCTTCCCGTCGTGTTTTGTTGCTTGCCAAAGCCTTGATCAGATCTTCTCTTATTGAATTCGTGTTGGTTTCATTCAGCCGATTGTCTTTAGCAAACCTGAAGAAATGAATTTATCTGCGTCCAGTACCCTAGCTTGCTGACAATCCAGTTCATTTTTCTGAATGCAAACTAGAATTTAGCTTGAGTGTGGACAATAGTTGGACCTGGCTTTGGCTCCCAAAAAACATTTGATTAATTTTGGGAGAATAAAAATGCCAGGGGAAGCAATAAAATGATATGATCTGACTAAATGTTTTTTATTTACAAATTTCCATAAATCTTTCGCTGTTTTAATCTCATTCATGTGGATTTTAGATATAAATACATGGATCTGACACAGACTTTTAAACCAAACGCCTCCAAGGCTTATCGAATGAGAGACCCCAGGGCGTTCATCATAAGGAACAAGAAACCCTTAGTTCTAAAAACAGTATATATAATTTGAAGAGACCACGAAAAAGTGGATACATAGCCTACTAGTTGAAGCATATAGTTCAACATGCGATGTTTCAATTTTTCAATGCTATCTCCAAATTTTGCCGTACTGAAACCGTATTTAACAATGATTTGTAAAATATTCGTGAGCTTGCCTCCAGCCAGTGCATTTCTTCAGGGATGCTCTTATATCTTACATCATTCAGGGCTGCTCTTATATCCAAACAATCTACGTGGGTGCTACATCTACGTCTGAAAATGAAATGAAATGCTTTACCTAGATAGGGGCGTCTTGAATGCGTCGAGCTGATGAAGTTTCTGAGCAACATCGTGTGCGCTATAAGGGGTCGATGACGAAGGTCCTTCGATTGTGCTATTCAGGGCCACCTCGTACAGCCTAAGTTGTTCTTTCACGTCTCTTATCTCATCCTAAATGAACAAACAGTCAACGTATTGCTACAGTAAAAATACCAGCTTCCTTGTATTCTGTGTTTCTTGTATAAAAGTAAAATGACTGTTATCTTTGTTTTTAAGGGTAGTTCTAGAGTTTCGTTGAAAAGTTTCTATATGCGGTCAATCTTGAAATGAGATTTAGAATTGATTTGTTTTCTAAATCTTTTGATTTTGTATTTGTACCGAGACGACAATAGCATGGAGAATGGTAATGCATGAGAGATAAGACCTCTTTCTGTTAAAAATGATACTAAGAATAATCCTTTGGTGGTACAAAACGTAAAATTTTGTTCGCACAATCTGGGTTTTTTCCAGTAAATGCTGTCCGAGAGCATTTTTGATTGGCCTATTCCGATCCACAACTGGGCATATATATTCCCTAGCGTAGAGTTTTCGGTCTATGTTCTGATGTTTTATACTTTGAAGAGTACAAGACGAAAAGCTTCAGTACATTTAAATGTTTGCTTTTTTCAAAGCCATTACTAAGGATAATATAAGTCTTAACTATGAGTTTACACTTCAACGTGGAAAGCTGGTATCAACGTGTGTCCTGATAAGCTAAACGGAGAATGTAACAAATTAACTTAATCTGCTATAGAAATCTCTAAGAAGACTTGCATAGATAATGACTTGAATTGGCTATAGACCAAAGCTATAAAATCTTATACATATGTAATATAAATGGTGGAAGATATTTGTCAAAAATATATACAGTATCAAGGATCTGACAATCATGTTTCCGGGGGTATTTGCCTAACTATAGAAAAGTGCCTGCCTTGACTTGATACCGAAATAATATGGCTGACAACATCACGATGCAAAACATGCAGGATTGAGTTTCTATTTTGAGAAAACTGCTTCAACAAAAACTCTTGGAGTAATTCAACATCCAAATTGGGAATAAATTTGCTCATGCCATTTAACATTCCTCCCTGTTGCTATTTGCCTCCAAACACTTAAACCTCGACCTATCCCTTCCTTGTTTTCCGTCAGTCCTAAACACACATGTATAGAGAACAAAAAACCCTACCCTACCTACAAAGATCAATTAAGCAATGGTACAAACATACCTTCAACGCCTTGTTGTCTTCTAGCAGGTTGGTATTCTCTTTCTTTGCTTGCATAAGCCAAGCCTTGTTATCTGTATTACTATTATCAGACCCTAAAAATATAAAAACTAGACAGTAATCTACAAAAATGAAAATTATAACGAATTATCATTAAATAATCTCTAGTTTTAATGAATTCGTACACTTCAGTAGAGCTATCTTGATATCTGAATATTTTTTTGAAACGCAACATATTAGGAGACAAATTACTCTTTATGTGAAAAACATAAATAGTTTCAAGGAATAATTTGATCTCATAAATTCAATGAGCGTGCATCGCAAAAATTGAATTCAAATTAAAGCTTCAAACTTGACCCTAAGTATTCTTTTGAAGAAGTTTAATTTCAACAATTTAATTAATGGCGAGGTTAAACTTGATAAAAAACCTTAGAAAGATAATTACCTTCTGCCAACATTCCTCGCAAACGGTGCTGACTTTGTTCAAGGCTTTCTGTCAATTTATTAACGGTTTCAGCTGATTCAACCTTCAGCTGAGTTATATACTTTTTTGCTGACTGCATTTCGTCTTGAAGTCTGTTTACATCTTCAGTCTAGGTAACAGAAAAGGAGGATATTTTCATTCACGGAACCAAAGTTTCAATTCCAAGTTTGCTTTGCTTAATCTATATAAAATTTCCATATAAAATTCGAGAAAAATATTATTTTCAGTAAGTCTAACAGGAACACCTTTTTCGATTCATCAGTTCAAATTGAAAAAAGTTCTTGTGGCCTTCAAAATTTTATAAAAAAGTGCACCAGTCTAGCCGTGGACCTGAAAATTTGAAATGCTTTCGACGTTCCTGCTATAAAGTACCCCAGAAAAAAATGTAATGGAATGGAACTGCAATTTAATACAGAGGCAATTGAAATGTAACGTCGGGTCTAAGTTAATAATGACGATGAAACAAAGGCAATTTCATTTAGACGTAAAAGCAATCTTTAAGTATCAGAGCTGGGCAGGGGTAACAATTGCAGAACAAAATCCCCAAACAATGGAAAAATTCCCCTCAATACTGAAAAAATCTAGCTATCGAAAACGCAATTTTGACCAATCTAATTTATGAATTTATCTATCAAAAAAGGTCAAAGGAATTCGAGCTTTTCGAAGATGATGCATCCGAGAAAGGATTTTGAATGGTAAACCAGTTGCTAACCTTCCAGTTGAGCTCTTTCCTTGTGTCATCTAATTTCTCTTTCAAGAGCAGTATTTCTTCTTCATGCTTTTGTCTCAAGGTTGCCATTATTGTCTCATGCTGTGACCTCATCTTTGACAAAGAATCTGCCCGATTCATTGCTACAATTTGCTGGTTTAAAGCTTCCATCCCCGATTCAGCAATCTCAAGTTTATGAAGGAGCTTACGGACAAATAAATAAAATTTAGTTCATACCACACTATTCATAAAAACATCAAGCGGCTTCTAGGTAAATCAGATATTTCAAGGGTTCGTAATTCTGTTTCCTAACAAGAGTTAGCATTTGTATCAATAAAGGCTGTGAACCACGCTAAAAAGAAATACCCTCATTGCGTCGGTTATTTATTGCAGAATCTGCTATGATTCGCAATACTACGAACAATGAACTTTGAAGAAACTCAAAAAATAATGTTCTATATCGTGAGCTCTTTAAACGAAGTGGAAATTACAAAAAGAGTTTATCACCTCGAGCACCCACCCTTCCCTTATACAGTGACATACACCATAGATATCCATTAGCTTATAGAATAACAGCCCGCTTAATGGTCTGAAAAACTGACATGATCCTGTCAGCAAGCATCTATGATATCTCCCCAAAAAATGCCATTGATGAACTTAAGAATAAGAAACAAGTCAAAAACTTTTCTGGCCTTTTCTGGCGTCTGAAAAATTAGCTAAATCTTGGATTTCAATGAAGAGAAGGCCTGTTTGTTTCGTGACATAAAAAGTTTGCAAAATGAAGGATTTACTAAACATAAGGAATACTCTAGGCTAAATCAAGTGACAAGGTGTTAAGTTTGTTACACAAGATAGTTTTTTGCAAGGAGAGTTTGCTGCGTAAGGGTTCAATTCTGATGCTTTTAGACAATGCCAATTCACCAACAGTTAAAGTGATGCCGAGAACAGGAATCTTGCGAATTTCATCAATCTTTACATCATGAAATTTAAGGTTGAACTGTATGGTTTTCATTATCTTTAAAACAACAAGGGCATCAAGAGCCAACTGAGGCATGACAAAGAGGGCTGGAAGTAGTAGTTTTTTCTTCTTGTATAAAGTTGTTTTACTGGGCCTGGAAAATTAGAGGACACGGTAAGGAAGAAATGAAATGCTTCAAACCTCTTTGCGCTCATCCCTAACTTCCTTGGTATTCTCTGCTTCTTCTGATAATCGCCTCTGAAGGGCATTAATTTCGAGCTTCATTTCTTGAAGTGAATCTTGAGAATGTTGCAGTGTCATGCTCATACCATCTCGTTCTCCTATATGGGGGGAAGTCTCAACATTTTAACGATCTATAAAAGCGATCGATGCAGTATAACACCCATTTTGGAAAGAGGCAGTGACAAACATAGAAAGGAGGGAAATATATATCTAAATACACAATAGCAAATATAGTTTTGTTACGAATGTAAAAAGACACACTCGGAAATGAAACCTTGCCAGGCCTGAGTGGAAAGTAGAAAAACCCACCTTTGGCTAGGCTTAACTTGTGTTGCAATATCCTTATCTCTTTGGCCTGATCTTCAGTTTTCACATCTAATTCTCTCTGCAATGACTCTATTTTTCGCCCTCTTGCTTCATAAAGTATTCTTAACTGAGATTGGTCATGTGACTGTGTGCCATTATCTGGAGTGTTCTCATGGTATTGTTCATTTGGGGTCTCTTGCCATTCTTCGAGTGGTTGGTTTTGATTCTCTGAATACATGTGGTAATCAAAATCTGCTGGCAGGCTGCCAACATGCCCCTCTACGTCATGGATTCTTACATCTTCATTCTCTGTATTGTCATCAAAATGTCTCATAAATGAATCCTTAATGAAACTAGATTGCTGATTTTGCTGAAAAGAGCCTCTTTCGTCAGATCTGTTATCAATTGTTTCAAAATGTTCATGACCTTCAAAAAAATGCCTTTGCCCCAATGACTTAGTATAACTATCAACATAAGGTGATCTTTCATGATTACTAGCGTCATTGGAAAAGTCTATTTTTCCTGAAAAATCTTGCCCATCATACCCAAGAACTGCAAAAGCATCCTCCCCTTGGTTCACATCCTTGTTGCTTTTATCTAAAACTCTATTAAAATGGGTTGCCTTGTTGGACATTTCTCCATCTCTCTTACTGTCATATCTTGGGCTTATTCTGCTGATAAATTCGCTTCCCCTGGATGTAAGCAATGGTGCTGGAAGTTCTTTCCTTATTCCTTCATTGGGCAAGGAAGGCAATTGATTGTAGTCAAATGATGGGTCAATCAAACTATTGATAGAAGTTTGGTGGGAGGCAAAAGAGCTGTCGTCTTCAAAGAATTCATCCTCATTTAGCTCATGTTCAAGAAGTTCTTTTATCTGTGAATAAAATCAAAGTTTAAAATATTGGATGCAATTATCAAATAAGGAAAGAGTTACAAATTTAGCTTTAATTTACAAGCAAGCACAATTGTACACAAAATTGCATTGCTGAAGCACAACATGAATAAGTGGGCAATTCCATACAAGATTTTATGAGAGCGGTAGCATACTATTTCATGTTCTGAAATTGTACTTGAAAACTGTACTGGCAACATGTATTGGATCATTTGAAAAGCACGGTCATTGCAACTGATGTACATAGAAATGAAATAGCTCAAGTATATAGGAGTTTGTTTTCACCCTTGGACACAAGGCTTGTGACATTGATTGGGTAGACTTACTTGTTATGTTCTCGCGGTTCTGATTAGCCAATTTCAAGCCACAATTTGGTATAAAGTTCATATGCTTATTCTGGTGGCTTTTGCCTCCTAATGTCATATATATGGTTGAAATGGCTCTGATTAGGGCTTTAAGTTAATACAGAAAAAACAACTGCCTTGCTATGCTATGCTGAAATTCTATATATGCATACATGAATATATACTTATTGCCTGATATATCAGGCCTTTTTCCATTGACGTGAGCGATCACTTGCGATCGTTCAGCATTGCACAAACCAAACCATGCAAGCGTTTGATCGCTCGATCAAAACAGTAAATTGTTAGGAATAAATGTTTCTTCAATTAACACAATTCTGGTCATCTTTTGTGAACAAAGCATCAAAACACAGGAAATATAAGTAAGTTGACTTAACCAAACCTCAACAAAAAAATGCATTTGAAAATCAATTCCACTGCAAATGTTTATAAATACTTTAGGTACTTAGTATTTGAATAATATTAGCACTTGAAGCAATTTCTGGGCAGTCAAAGCGTTTTTAAAAGGTATGGAACAACATTTTGCGATCATTTGGTAATAACATCTTTGTGACCTTCTTGATGTACATAAAGTTTATAAATGAAGCACACTTATTAAGGGTATTTAGTCTTTCTTGGAGTGCATTATAGATCATCGTAACCATTCATTTTCATTTGCTGTTATCTTAAACAAAGGTACCTTATCACAGGAACAATTTTTTCACTATCAGAGCGATCGCTCACGCAAGAGATCACACGAGCGATGGGCCACTTGCGTGGGCTTTTTCTTATGAAAAGGCCTGATATATTTACAACACCCTGCTTAGAATTCTCAATAATTAACAAATTGCTTTCTTTAATATTGATTTGAATGAGAGACAGCATCATGCTACAATTTAGAATCAAAAATTCTAGAGTTAACCTCTTTTTCTCGTTCAATATCTTCTTCCTGAAACTCTTCATCATCATTTTGAGCAACCTGAAATAAAATTTGAGCTATAAAAAACACAAGCAACTTTATAATACCTTTTTAAGTGAGAAAGCTAAGCAGAATGGATCCATCTTTTTCAATGAATGATGCAAATTCATGTAAGGGCTCAACTTGGTATGTTGGAAAATTTAAAAGGACTTAACAAGGTAGGAATGTTTGTTATGCACAGTTGAAGACTTAGGTGCACATTTGTTTTCCAGATGCAAAGGAAGTGCAAATTTAAGTTTGCAGATACTTTGTACATCAATAACATTTTCAGGGCTGGTTAGAGAGGTTAGGTAGACTGTGAAGAAGAAATGTTATAACCAAATTTTAACATAGTAACATGTGAAATGTGAAATTTAAACAAGGAGTGTTAGAGTATTCCATGGTTGCACTCAAGACATTAAAAGAAAACAAACAAATTTTTGAAATATCTTGTTGCTACTACTTTATTTCACACAGATGCTTAACAAGTTAAAATTTAGAAAGAAAAAAATTTTCAGACATTATGTTACAGCAAGTCACGTTGAGTTAAATTTTGGAGACCAGAAAAGCTTGTTTATATGTATGACAACATGTGAACACTCAACAAAAGGTTATAACCAAAATATTTGAAGTAGGCTGTCTATGTTGTAAGGGTAACTTACCCGGTAAGGAGTTTTAACACAGAGTATCTTATAGAATAGCTTTGAAATTAGCTCTGATTTCAAGTTACCTGTTAAGGACTTATTATTCGTGTTTATTATGATGATCGCTGCTTAGCAATTTACCGCTGCGTACTAGCCAGGGGCGGTGGACATTGCTATTATTGCTATCACTTCAGCAGAAAGCTAGGCCTGCTTACCTGTGGGTTGATCTCGAGCTGGCTTAGAAAGTTACTCATTCTTCTTCAACCGAAAATGAAATGTATTTTGGCATGAGCTGCACCTCATACTGTGTATCTGAAGATCCTAAGGGCTCTTGTGTGACTTCAAAAAATCCTTAAAAATGAGTCTAGAGCAATTTTGCAAATGTCGTCTGCTATACCTCAATTTGATTTCTTGTTTAGGAAAAGAAAATCGAGCGCCAAAATGTAACTTATTGAATTGAATGCTCCTGCAAAGGGACATTTCTAGAGACTCCTTGTGAAAGAAAGAAAAGAAACCATAGCTATTTTTTTAAGATAACAAATTTTTAAACTACAACTAAAGCTACTTAGATACATGCTACTCACAGTGGTGAAGGACACATGGTTATCTGGTCTTCATTATGAGTGACAGTATCAATTTTGAAATAAAACTATATGATATAAATATAAACGCGCAAAGAACAAAAAATCACTTGTTTTGATGGATATAGATGACTTTGTCTGCCCAATTGTTTTCCAATTGTTCTGATGTTTTTTTGATAACATGTCCCCTATAGTCTCAATACAAAATTCTTAGGGAGAAATGTTCAAGATGAAAAGAGGTATAGTTAAAAATCCTCTATTTGAATAACTTTTTCTTAAAAAACACCCTATTGTACATGTCATTAACAAAAATAAACATATAGGTCACTGTGAAAAGTGCAATCTTTTTCTAATATAAAATATTGGGTTATGCAAGATATCTAAAAGCATTATACTCTTTCAAAATCACAATCTTAGAACAGTATAGCAACAGGGACGTTCTCAGTGAAGACAAATGTCAGCACAGATATAAAAATATTTTTGGCAATATACGGGTTATTCTTCACCAACTTGCTTCAAGGCCTCATTTAAGTTTATTGGGGCCTTGGGCTCAAAGTTGATTGGGGCCCCTTCAAATATACCAAAAATTTGTGTCACGTGCACAATACTTATATGATCACATGCTAAACATAATCAAACATAATCAACCAACCATAAGACACGAATGAACTTGTATCCATTTCGCATTTCAGTACATTCCCAATAGAACTACCCAACTGCTGAAAACTTTTCAATGATTTTATTGTGGTTTAAAACTCACTGGACATCAAAAACTGCTGCCATTAAACATGAGGAAACAATGCGCTACTGTGACATTGTGGACCTTAGCTCATACTCGTTTTATTTACCCTTTTCACCGGAGAAAACCTCTGTATGGCAAATTGAGCAACAAACTAAGTGCATTCATTCAATTGGGGTTGTGACCACGCCCTTTATTCCATTCTTAAATGGAATTCGTTACTTCGTGAGGCCCCAAGCTCCATTCAAACACAAGATTGAAATCAAGAGCACTCAAAAGGCTTTTAAAATTTTGCATGGGGCCCCCTAAATCAAAGAATTTTAGGGGGCCCCTGGGCCCGGTGGACCCATGGGTAAATGCGTCACTGACTCGCTTTAGTACTAACTATAGTTTGACTTGAGGCGAGTAATATTATGAAAAAGTCCACCCAGGTAGAGTAATCATTAACGCGTACCAGGTTGGAAGTAATCATTAGATTGTAAAACTGAAAAAAATTTGATCTCGTTCGCAAATGCCATGGTTTAAAACAGGGCACATAGATATTATCATAATGGTAATTACCTAAGAGACCGACATATACTAATTTATCTTCAGTCCTTGATTTCTTGTGTAGCGCATTCTTATGTTCATTGCGTCGCACTACTGTACTGAAAAATACAGTGAAAATAGAAATTGAACAATTCTTGATTACTGAAAATAAACATCTTTGAAGACTAAGCAAGGGTTGAAAAATGTGTTGAAAATATAACGTTCTAGCATACGGGTTCTTGTATGTTTGGATCGGTATGGATATGATTTGTTTAATATTAATTGTTACAATAGTGGAAAAACACTAATTCAGACTAACATAAACAATTTCGAAGATTGCATAAGGCAGTTTGTTTACTACAAAAAGAACACTTGCATTAATTTTTATGGTACCAAGTTTAAATCCGACTTTTTAATCCTTTTGAATTTCGGGATGTTTTGCTTTTATGAGGATATGAACCGAGTAATTTGATCTGATTCCAAAATTTCTAGTTCTAGCCTTTGGTATCACAAGGAGATTTTGTACATGAAGGTTGTGATTCGCTTGTTTCGGCGAAAAAAGTCCTGCGAAAAAATAGAATTTAGACTGTTTTATATACTTCGAGTACTAAGATTCTAATTGATTGAACATTGGTCGTAGTCTCCTGTGAGTTGGAGATTAGATGCTTATAGGAGGATGAACCACTGATCTATAAAAAGATTGGGTCGGGCTTCTAATGCGACCAGAGTTCCGCCATCCGAGAAGAGGGCCCCAGAACAGCCCATGCTAGGAGACGGTCTTCTCTGTCACCCCTTGCAATGTTTTCAGCTGCTTTGGCCTTGTTCTTTTTCAGCAATCACACACAAAGCATTGCAGCTCTCGCGTATCCATATCGTTGAAGTATTGGTTTTGAGGAATGGCTTCCCGCTATTGTTTGGGGCCCTCTTCCTTTTGAAATTGAACGGGCTTCAAACTTTGGTGTTTCAAGAAAATAAGAAGCTCGATCTAGTCTTCTTTGTAGATCAGTGGGATGAATAGTCAAAATAGGAGACTCTTATGTGCAGAGAATAATCCAGAATTTGAATGACACATTCAATGCGAGACGAAAACTTCGAATTGTATTCTACCGATAGCCTTATTTTCAGCTAGAGCGGGGGGATTAGCCTCTATCTTATAAAAAGCGAGGGTCAATATAAAAAACAACTTGTTTAAACAAGGAACCTTCGATCGCTAAAGGCATGGAAATCATAACACCTATTTAGGAATGGAAAGTATACGGATAGCAAGGGAATACTGTTCTTCAAAACCATTTAACACCATTCCGTGAATTCATTTTTTAAACGCAAATACGTGGAAGTTTGGGGCCTCGTGCTTCTTTGGTGATCTGTCAAAAGAGGAGCTCTATACAACCGTGGAAGTTTTTAATACAGATCAAACTTTTGGTGAACAAGCGTATTTCTAGATCTAAATAACGGAAAATATAAATATGATCTCAGGAGTTGAGATGCTAAATTACCATGACCTTTTATTGCGTTTCCTTGTCAATTGTTGAGATCGAAATGCATCTTGAAAATATTGCAAACGATATGAGCCCTCTTTTCATAATAAAAATTTCGATTTGAATTCTGAGCACCCCTTGGGCAAATCAAAAGTCGACGCCTGTGCTCGTATTTGTAGTAAAGTTCTGATGAAAGGGAAAATAATACCAGTTGCTTTTATTCTTTCCAATTATTTCATGATAGATAACTGAAAATTGGAACAGAAACCAGCTGAAGAAAAAACTTAAATACTAAACATGACAAATGGCAGCATGAGCAACTAATGTACTTTAAACAAACTATTCAACTTAATGAAAATACTCGACCAAAACATAATTTTGGCCACAAAGCAAAAACTCGTTTTCACGGAAAAACTGTCAATAATACTGTCGAATTGGGTATTGCTTAGAAACTGCGCGTTGTTTTTAAACATTGGTCCAGCATCCAAGACGTGGAAAGAGAACAGTTTGAAAAAGGGCCATAACATCATTAAAAAGGACTTTGTATCAAATTAAATAACACATATCAAACGAAAATCTCACTCAGTTTCTCATTAACATGCACGTCCAAGTAGGATTCAAGTTACTTAGGGACGTATTGGGGCAAATGTAATTTACACTGATTCTACTTCTAATCAATCCAAGTCCTCACAGTTATAAATGAAAGTGGAAAATGCATTCTTGAATGGTACAATTTGCATGACTTTTCTTTTTGGAAGTGTGACCAAGACATAAAAATTTATAACACTAAACAACATTAAACGGCTGTAGTGTTTTTATCCCGATAGAAAAATGAAGTCTGTTCTCGCAAATATTAGTAGGCTTTACAGTATGCACCTCAAAACTACTTGTTTTACAAATAAAAAAAATATATACAAATAAAAATGCTTGTTGAATAAAATCTTGAAAAAATAACCATATCTTACTGCTTACGATCATATAGCTAAAGTAGCAAAAAAGTAGTAAAAATTGTACGCAAAACAGCTTAAGTGGCAAAACGTCATACTGAAAACGAGAGCCTCGGCATTCTTTAGTATTCCAGGCAAATCAACCAAGTCAAACACTCAGGTCAAATCTAAATGAAGAAATGGGAAAATGGATTTAAAAAGGAATCTTTAAGAGAAATGAATGACCTTAGATACAGCGTCGTACTGTAATACTGGAAAAATCTTTGGTTTTAAATCTTATGAGTAATGCTATGCTTTATACATATAATGAATGAAACCAGAACAGAAAATCCTTAGCAAAAAGTGATTGAGCGCAGTATTTCACAAATGATCATTTCATCTAACTACAGATCTCCATGACAGTAAACATGCCTTATTAAAATCAAGATATTTTGATTTGATTCCAAAGAAAATAAGAAGAAGAAAAATCAGTCATTGAACAAATAAAAGCATCTTTTTCAAATTCAATGAATGTCCATCCTAAAATTAAATCTGTGATAATAACAACTTCCCATTCTACTTTGTGAATATTCAAACCAAGCAACAACATAATGAATTTCACACATTTTCATTGGATCTAAATTTTGCAATTCTTTTTCTTTGGCCAAGTTTCACTTGTATTTCACCTTTATTTGCACAAATGACTATCGAAAAAATAATTCACTAGAAATAGCGTTAAAAAATTAGCGTTCAGAAGGTATGGTCCAAATTTAAAGATTTAAACAATATCTTATGACAAAAATAGCAATCAATGTAAGTAAATTGTACCAGGAATAAAAAATGATTAAATGAATAACGACGTTTCGAGAATAGCCCGTTATCAAGTGATAACTTACTGAGCTTATTTACTTGATAACGCGCTATGCTCGAAAAGTCGTTATTCATTTAATCAACGCTTTATTCCTGGTACAATTTACTTACATTCATCGTTATTATAGCATCATATTGTACCGCACGCAATCTAATATAGTTATGGAATATTTTATGATATCGCCAATTTTAAACTGTAGCGAGTGATATCAGTTCTACTAAAAGAAGCAAGACACGCTTATTCTAAACCCTCACATTGTCTTGCCATAAGATTGTGGCATGCCTGGTCAAAAAGAAACATGCATAGATAAACTGAAGTCTAAACGTTGTTACCAGAAAACGCTTAAAATGAGATGGAAAGCTTGTAAATAAACGTTAGTGCTAGGGTCATTCAGAAATTCTTATAAGATATTGTCAATAGCGGCATAAATTTCATGCAAAATTTATTTCTTTCTTCCAAATAAAATAAGTTTTATTAGCGAAGAATGATAATACTAGCCTGGAACTATTAAATATGACACAACCCGGTGATATTCAAAATCAAACAAGTAATTTTCAATAGTAACCCAGTACTATTCAATATTAGCCCGATACTATTCAATATTAGCCCGATACTATTCAATATTAGCCCGATACTATAAATATAAAACAGATACTATTCAATATCAACTCGGTACTATTGAATACAAACCTGGTACTTTTGGATACAATTTTTTGAAACAGTAATGCTCAAACTCAGCTATGTTCCTTTTCTTGATGTCAACGTTCACATCCTCAATGACATCTTTTGCTAAGAAAAGCAATAAAATGTTTCCATGCTAAGAAAAGCAATAAAATGTTTCCATGGCATCTATCACCTGAAGAACTTGATTTTAGATCAGATAATAAATTGAAGCTTCAGGTTGACAACTTAGATACAACAAATTTTCATCAAGATAATCTTAATTTGTGTATTTGGTCGCATGCAGCAACCTCCATTTTTCTGCTCACGTAAGGAATATGTCTTATCAACATATCTATCTTAAGAGTCACACAAGCCTTGGAGGGGGGGGGGCAGGGTAACTAAGCCTAGTTTTTGACGGGGACGTGCTATTTTTCTTCAAAATTTTGACCCATAATTCCGCTAATATGATGAAAACTTTACCTATAATTCCGCAAGGCAAATAACATTTTTAAAACACAGCAAAATCAGCAAACAAATTTTGAATGTCCTTTGCACTAAAATCTCAATATTACACATATTCCATACTTTCGTTTCTCATCAACGAGCTCATCAACGAGCGCGTTAATGGGCATAATGGAATCACGCTCACTGATTGGTCAGTTTGGCAATTAAGCTTCCAATCTTAACCGACACTTCAAAATTCTTCTGCATGCAAACAAAGCATATTGAATCATACCTTTCCAATCCTCTCCTCGGTTGCACATATACTTCAGCAGAATCCAACAGTTTTCAAAAATCGATAAAGGCGCTGGTAGGATTGGCTTCTTGATAAACTCTTTCAAAAGAACAAACTTCTCATATTGGCAGATTTGATTGGAGCATTTTTGGGTTTTGTCGTAAATATTGCTGCAGAGAAAATAACCAACAATTGATGTACAAAGTTTTTCTATAAAAAACAATTTGCGAAAGCAGAGGCTATGTGAAAACACCTTTAAAACTTAACTTGTTGTTTTTTGGACAGTTCTTTTTCGATCTCCGTCGTTCCTTCTTACCTAATTCTTTGGGATTCTATGGGAGCTTTGAATAGAATAAATATTACAAATTTTAACGACTTTTCTACTTTATATCTAACATATTCCTTGGCACATACGTCGAGTTTCTTGGTCTGTAAAATACACCTGAAAAATCGACTGATACTCTGGTGATATGATTAGAGAAAACTTCCTTTGTGTTCATAGTGTAGTTTACCGGAAATTTATGCAGAAAAAAGATCTCCGCTTGAACAAAATGATTTTCGTTTAAAAAACCTTTGATAAGAGACTGCAGCTTTAGAATTGAAGTTCTTTCTTACGGGAATGTCGTTAATTTCATCAATCAAAACTCAATAAAATATTATTTATTCCCTTAATGAAATATTGAACGTTCAAAGTGAATGAGTGTTAGTTTTTTGGGTCGACTTATATATCTGGTATTGCTAAAAGTTATGTATTTTTAGCCAAAAATCAAGGGTCGACTTACACGCCGGGATGACTTATATGCCTAGAAATGCGGTGTATGAATTGTTTGAGGAAACAAGAAAAGCGTTTCTCTCACACAAAAAGTTCGAGGAGAACTATTAACTTTGTTTTTGGCTAATATGCTTCGTTTCTTACAATGTTTTCGTGATAAAGAAAGAAAGCAGCAAAGATTTCAACTTTCTTTTTAACAATCTTAGGCCCAGAATCACAAATCTATAAGAATACTGTGGTTCAGCAAAAATCAAAAGCAAAAGATGACACAAGTCAAGACAGCAAAAAGGTATTTTGTAGAAAAAGTTTGTTTCATTTTTTTCTTCATCTCAGGAAGCGCAATTCATGATTCTTGGTTGTAAGAAATTTAAATAGAAAATGAAAATACCTGAAGTCGGCAATCAAAATATTGATAAGGAGTGTATTTGCAAACAAAAGAAAAATAGCCATTCCAATCACAACAGCAATTTCGTATCCTGAATTCACTTTTGGTGTCCCAAATACAGTTGTACTGTTGTTCACTACAAAAACAAACGCGCCGATGAGCAGAAACTCTAGAACCAAAACGCATAGTAAGGTAATTCTTTAGTAATGAATTAAAATTTTTTAGCAATTAGTTTCTACTTGTTTCATACATTAAAAGGCATGAGACTGAAAGCTTTTGCTGTCTTTTGGTCACTTAAAATTGATGGCTGTACAGATTATACAGACACCTCTCTAAAAACACACAGTTCAGTTTCATCCCAAATGATCATAACGCCATTAATGAAGCTCTATACAACGGACACCCCTATACAACGTACACCTCTATACAACGGACACCCCTATACAACGTACACCCCTATTCAACGTACACCTCTATACAACGGACACCTCTATACAACGGACACCTCTATACAACGGACACCTCTATACAACGGACACCCCTATACAACGGACACCCCTATATAACGTACACCTCTATAGAACGGACACCCCTATACAGCGTACACCTCTATACAACGGACACCCCTATACAATGTACACCTCTATACAACGGAAAATTACACTGATCCGAGCAGTGTCCGTTATAAGACGGCTGTATCCCCAACTTCTAGGTATTTCAACCTTTCTAGAAGTACAATACAGCTGCAGGACGCCAAACTAAAATCTAATTGACAAAAATATAGCTGAATATCATATGAATACAAATTGCAAAAAGTTGAAGAATTAATATATCATATGGGATCTGAAAACTAAGCAAAATATGCATTGGCCAGCAAGAAAAGGTTTTATTATTCAACAAGTAAAAGGTGAGACATACATTCATAAGTTTCGAGTCCAGCGTCAGCAAATAGCAAAAGGTATGGTCGGAAGAAAATGGTGAAGACTGTTGTCCAAGACAAGGTTGACGCGGGGAAAAGCATTGCTGTCAGCAAAACACCATAAGAAATAACCGAAATGGTGACGACAATCAGGAATGACTTCATCCGTAGCAGCTGAAAGATAACATCAATTTTCATTAGCAACCAAAAAATCAATCTTGAAAATCATGAAACACGATGAGATATCAAAGCATACGAAAGTACGCTTAGTGAAGGCATTAGTTTTCCCGATAATGAAGTAACGTTATGAGAGCTGGACAGTCAGGAAAAGTGAACGAAGGAAAATCGATGCGTTTGAGCCATGTTGACGTAGGATATTGAGAATATAAGGGACAGCAAAAAGGACAAGTCAGTCTTTTTAGATGAAAGAAAGCCAGAAAATTCATTAGAAGGCATGGTTGTAAAACGCTGACCTTCCTTGGCCATACAATAAAAGCTAGCGTGATGGAAAAAGATATTGTGTTAGCGTTGGTAGAGGGAGCAAGAAGACGAAAGACACAAATAGCAAGATGCCTGGATATGTTAAAAGAGCTAGCTGGGTTGTCCTTGCATCAAGTCAATGAAAATGCAATCGGAAAAAATGAAGATTGTTTGTTCAGACCATCGCCAGAAGTCGCCAGCGACATAATGGTACTTGAGACACACATCATTCTAAGATTTGGGATTAAACCTATATCTAGAACTTGATTCCTTCCCAGACGACGCCATTGAAGCGGCACTCGGCAAATATAGGTAAACACTGTTCTCTATCTCTCAATTTTCAATGAATGTCAATGAAAAAGCAATCGGAAATGAAGATTGTTTGTTCAGATCATCGCCAGAAGTCGCCAGCGACTTTATGGTACTTGAGACACACATCATTCCAAGATTTGAGATTAAACCTATATCTAGAACTTGATTCCTTCCCAGACGACGCCATTGAAGCGGCACTCGGCAAATATAGGTAAACACTGTTCTCTATCTCTCAATTTTCAGTGTATAACCACACATAGTTTTGAATAGATCGTTAAATTACTAAATCCGGTGCTCTTTACACATAAGAATGCAAAAGCTCATCAAAATATTTTGGATGCCGATGATCAGCGCAGTACACAAATTAACTGAGTCATACCGCTAATTTGTGTACGTCGTCCTCAACTAGCAACGTCCTCAACCAAGATGAGTACCAGTTTAAACGATAAATTTGATGCGAAGCAACGCAAATTCTGCGTCCTTCCATTTGCATTTATAATATCTTGAGATAGGAATTTATAAAACATTTAACGGTTTGAATCCGCCTTTTATGGATGAAATACTGTCCATAAATGAATGCCCAATTACTTAAGAAACTCCCATTCATAACAGCGGAGCCACATTACAAAATATATGGATTTAATACCGTATCATACAGATGTAGCCAGATATGGAACTCAGTTCCAAACGAAATAAAGTACTCCCCTACTTTACCAATATTCAAGAAAAAAATCTCAGAATTTACATTGTTCAATTTACAATTTACAAATTTTCATGTTCAAAATTTACAAATCTCATTACTTGCAAACTTTGCAACGAATACATATATAACATTGGTTATATTTGATTTACTTATACTTAGTGTTGGTAATTTAAATAAGATGTTTTTAATTAGCTTGAGTATGCAAAGCTAGAATATGTACCAACTTTAAATAAAGAAAAAAAAAGAAAAAAAAGTCTTTTAAAACCTCGTCTAGAACTTCTCCACTAATAATAAAGTCTAGATGTTTTAGCTTTCTTGAATCAATCAATCTCGAAATATGTACTTCTAATTGAATGGGTATTTGACAAAGGGGATGCTCTCTCTTTGATTAGCTGCTCTAGAGAAGCTTCTCCTTCTTTAACAAAATTTTTCTCGATAAAAATTTCTGCTGATTTATGTAATCTTATTATAATTTTGTCGCATTGAAATATTTGTAAATTTTGTTAGTTTAAATGATTTTTGTATGTAGCTGAATTTTGAAAACTAAATTGAACTGAACTGAACTGAACATAAAACCATTTTCTGTGAGGCTTGATTGCTTGACGGGAAGACATTGGGAATTCAGGGCGTATACTTCATGGATATTGTGAGACTGCATAATAGCAATTTATAGAGTTAAGACACTTTTATAGATATTTCGTAGCACTCAACTGAGGCTGCAGAAAGATAACTTCGAATAACAGCCTGTTCTTCACTAAGAGGCCCCTGTATTGACTTACCATTTCGATAATCATAACCAGATAAGGACCAATATCCTCCGACTTTCTTAAAAATTGTGCAATTTTTATCCAAGAGAGCAAGAGGTAGAATGAAAACACTGCCTTGGAGATGAATGGATCGTAGTAATCCAAGCCAAAGCCTAAGTAGTACAGTATGAAGCTGATGATATCTAGAATATTCCAAACACTTGACTTCCATTGTGCCAAATTGTTCAGGCATCCCTTTTGGACAGATACAATCTAAAGCAAAATAAATTGAAAATATTTTAATAAATTCAGCTGCCTCATCGTGCCGGGAAAAATCTTTTTAAATGTAAAAAACCTAGCATAAACCTAGCATAGTATACAAATATAGATAAATGTAGTAATATTTATATATGTTAAACACAGATCTAACGAATAAATGGGTTAGCCTCGACACCATTTGGGTAATATTAATTTTCATGAACGCACCACATGGGCTCATATTCTCATGAACGCACCACATGGGCTCAGAAAGCTTTACATAAGTCTTAACATCTGTCTATGAAAAAAGTAGTTGTAACAGCTCAAAATCATTGCTTTAATTTTCTCAAAACTAGATATAAGGAGACGGGTCATTCTGCAATTGAAGTCAGGAGAAGATATAAAATTATTATTGTAAAATGTTTTTGGAACACTAGGTTAACAGGTCCTTGGTTGGTAGCAGCAAACTACTTTGTTGAACAAGTTTACCTGTATGTATATATATGGTTTTATTATCATTATCATTATTATCATAAAGTCTGAGCGGTTTAAGCATCACATTGCAATGGGGGAAACTATACTGCAGCAACCAACCCCTCTATTCTGTGCAAAGCTTCAAAACTTACCTGCCTAATCTCGTCTAGTGTCAAGCCAAACACAAAAACCAAAACCACCCATTTAATCACCTCGTGAGCCTTGGTTTCCCAAGATAAAACGAAGAAGGAAAATGCCAGCAGATGCAGAACATACACGATCTGTCAAAAACATGTACAAAAAATCATAGAGATTTAGCAAGGGGTAAGTGGGCAAAGGGTGTTCATTCAGAAATTGCATGTTAGCAACGCCATGTTGACAGCTAAAAAAGACAGCTTGATAAGGTCCTGGAAAGGGAAATTGATCGAAGCTCCAAACCATTTTCGGCAAAATCCAGTTCCAAGTAGGCATTGCTTCAACCTCCTTCAGAGTGTGATCTCAAAAGTTCAAGCACTCGATTCAATGATCATCCCAGTCCATGAGCGATTTCCCACTCGCAGTTATCTAAATCCCAATTCCAAGTGCTGAAATAGGCAACCCAATTTCCCCATTTACTACTTCGGGACCCTTTGATAATTTGCTACTAATAACGTTTGTGAATACACGGCAGTGACCACAGTGAATACAAAGCGAGAATTTCTCTACCCTGGGTACCAGAGCCTCGTGAATCCATGGATAAAGTATTGTAGACAGCTGCGCCTTGTTAAAACAATTTTTTGTGACTCGTTTTTAACTAACGAGACTAGATAATGGAGACTCTGGTGCCAAGGGTAGGGTTTCCATGCTCATACCATCAGGTGGTAGCTACATCTGAGCTGAGCAAGAAATGTCTTTATACTCTCACACTTGAATTCGATCCGCATGGACAAGATGATAAAGTTACAATAATAAACTCACGACATGTAGCCAAAACTTGACATTTGGCACTCCCATTTTGTAATTCATGTAATACCAAAGCCAGTAAAGAGGTTTGGAGCAACAGCAAGATTGATCGGCCCTCTCTTTCAACCTTTTGAGCTTCTCCTTATGACGATTGTCCTAAGGAATAAGGGAAACGGATTAACACTGGGTAAATTTAAAATCGTTGCAAAAACCATTTCATACACAGATTAAAAGGGCACCAACTTTTTTGAAGGGGTACTAGATGGAATGAAGAAGCGATGGTTGACCTTAGCAATAACAATAACTTTTAAGATAAATTGAAATGGATCTCATTTTTTCATGAAATTACAATAATTCAAAATAATTTATTCATACGGCAAATTCCCTTTTAAGCCCACCGGGGGGCCTTATTGTTTCTCAGCACTTTGAAGGGGGCTTAAATGAGAGAGTGGCTAGATTGAGAGAGGGGGCTAAAAAAATATTTTGTTATGAAAGACCATTTTCAGAGGTAGGCTAATTTTTTGTTATTTACGGAATTAAAAACATTAAATCCGCCTTTTACAACAATAATGTTGCCATCGTCATCGTCGTCAATCATTAATTCTAAAATATCTTTATGGGCCATGTCGCCTTCTGAAATCGAGCATTCGAAAAGGTCGACTTCATCCCTCTGAGTACCAGCGACCTGTAATTTTGGTAAAAGGCTCTCACATGGCCCGTGCTTAATGCACATTAAATCTTTGTCTTCGAGACTGGAAGAAACATTCTTTGAATTTTGATTAGATGAGAAGCATTGAATGACAAATGAATGAAATGAAAATTTCCGTTTTTTGTCAAGTTTACTTATTTTGGCGTTCAGAGAGGGGGCTTAGTTGAGAGGGGGGCTTAAAAGAAAATTAACGGTACATGCAATTTCTCTCATGCAATAAACATTTAAAAATCTCAAAAATTTAAGAAGAGACCTCCCCACTCCAGGATTTCATAAGAGCCAGCTCACAAGCCGGTCGTTCGATGATATCTTTCAGTTCAAGGTTTCCTACTACTTCCGCGAACGTCTGATTCTTCCAAAGCGGCAATCTTGTCGTCAATACTTCTTCGGTCATTTCTCGGTCTGTTTTGTAATAAATTTCCAGCAAATCTATCATTTGCTTGTTGAAGAACCTACAAAAATGCATGGGTAACCTAACCAAATGTTTACAGAGGATTTGAAGTGCTAGAATATAAATTATGAAATCATTAAAGACAACCTGCGTCCAGATCTACTTTTCCAGACAAAGCAAAAAAATATTTTGTATGTTTGGAATTAATCCATAGGACTTGAAACCAACCTTAACTGCAATGCAGAAAATAAAAATTTGAAATATGCTCCTCTAGTCTCAGATCTAAGACAAAGGTTCAAATCTGTCATATCTGTGAATCTCTCCATTAGATCTCTTGGCATCTTCAGTGACTCATATCGCTCATTCCTTTAAATATGTCACTCTTTCCATCGATGATCAACACCAACGATATCTCATTCTAAGCTTTTTACAATATTCGTTCTTACCACCTATTACATCTTTTGCTGTAGGAACAAAACATGGACTAATATTGACAACTCTACTTTTAACTACATACGCACCTATATGTAAATTATGCTTGTTATTTATTACATTTATAAGTCCAGGCTAGCCAATTACAAATAACCTGTAATAGTGAGATTTCTAATTGCAGTTTTTAGTTTCAATGAAAATGAAAATTTCTCAAAAATGAAAATGATTTTGAAATGTTTTTATTTTCTGCAGTAGCTCCGTTGTCCAATTGATGAAACCCAAACAGTATTGTATGCAGTCCTGGCCGTAGAGCTCCACTGGAAGTACGTATATGTGTATATATGTTTGTATGAAATGTGTGCTTCAAATGCTAATTTAGGCCAAAGATTTCTTACAACCGCCGTTAACAGGGGCTGTTAAACGACCTTATATAGGTGCAATTTGCTGATTATTCGTCTCAAAAATATTGGCAAGTAAAATTTAACTATATTGAGTAATGGTATACGTGGTTTTATGAGCAGCATAAACAACCAGAATGTGAATGGATATTGGAGTAAAATTGTGAATTCTTGCATTAACCAAGCGTTTAGAACTGTAGTAAACGAAAAGGTAGAGCAAAGAAGCGACAAAAGGGAGGGACAAAACAGCGAATATATTCATTTTCATTATCCTCGCCGGATTTTCCCTAGTTAAGGGTACCTAAGATTGATCTGATAATGAACTCTATCGCGAGTGCAGAAAACAAAAATAGTTGACATATATCTGGAAAGGTCCTTTCGCAATTGAGGCAGAGGTATCTCATCAAAGAATTAAAACGCATATTGCACAAAACAGGAATCGAAAATATAGAATTACATACTCAATAGTGTCTTTCAGCTTGTTGGGAACATATCGGAATACTTCTGTCTTTTTGATAGTATTGGAAATGCCAGAGAGAACCGCATGCACAAGAAGTGCATTTGACAATGGATGGTATTTGTCGCAAAACCATAGTAGTTTAACTGTATCAAGATGAAGTCTGAGAGTACGATTAATCAGCAGTGACTGTACTGCATTGACAGCCTGTAAAAAATAATTTCACAGTTTTATCATTTCAAAACAATATCAGTTATTTCAAAACATCGATAATTGGCATTGAAAGAGCTAGGTTCTGATAGAATCTCACAAAGAAGCCTCCTAACTGTAACATCCCTTTCCAAATAATAAGAATGTAAGCACGTTTGCGACAGTACTGTGCCTTCCCTCCGACCTCAAACATTTTTACTATCTTAAACGATTGTCTGCAGCTGGCTTCGATCGACTGCGGCAATGCCGGAAGAGTTTAAACAATTCAATTTTCCCACCCCAAACGGCATCATAAATAACCCTTGTCACACGTAGGATGACACACCATATGTTTGCTCAGATAAAAAATCAATAACTCATCCTTAAAAAGACATTTCTACCCGGAAAAAGCCTAGTTTCCATAAAATCGCAACTTCCTGGACCCCATCTTCAGCTTTATGTTCCTATAAATCGGCGACAGTTAGAAAATATTCCTTTCCAGGTCCCAAAAGCGGACTGTTTGGACAAAGCTTATAGTCATTCACCGATCAATGCCACATGCACCGATCTTTTGCAAAACCGAAAAGTGGTAACTGCCGATCAACTGCGATATGTGTTTGCATTCAAGGGATAGGGTAGTCATGTCAGAGCATCTTGAGGAAGTTTTTCCATTGAATTGCGACGGTCGCAGCGATCAAGAAGTTTAACTTAGCTCAACTAGCCCGTAGGCCCTAGCGACTGCTTAGAGTCGTAAGCATCGCGAGCAACTTATTTAATTGAATCGGACACAGAGCGTAGATGATTGCAGACTGTCGTCCACCCTTTCAAAAACGCGTTAGTGGAATCAGGGTTATTGAACATCTTTATTGCCTCATTTACCGGAGGTACCATCTAACTTCTATAATAATAACACGGGATATAAGTTCCAGTTCAGGCAGCGAAAACAAATAAATTGCTACAAAGGAGGATCCACCAAAGAACATTTCAATGAAGAGGAGAATGATATTTTACACACTAACCCATATGACCATGCTTTTATCGTCCACAACTTATCATTCTTTGGTCGTGCAAAAATTTCCCCGCTATATGCCGGCCAAAAGTCCCCTTCGAAGAAGCTCACATGAATAATTCATGAAATGACGCCTTAGAAAGGACCTAACTTTCGAAAATATAGTGTAGTCTGGGACTAACTGGTAGGAAATATTGGGGGGGGGGGATTCGCATACATGTTCATCTCAGAATAGTTTATTGATATGTGTAAGCCCTAAGCTTGAACCTTTTGGAACGCCAAATGTAGCGTATTTTAGGGTTATTACCAATGCAGTTCCTTATCTTTAAATTCAACAATAGTAAAGCTTCTTGAAAATTTTCATGATTTCGAGGTTACTGACGTAAAATTGTCTTTATCCGTGTTTTAATACAAGTGATCCTTGAACTTTGGTAAGCAAGTTAAAACTAGGTGCAATAATCCAAAGCCTAGCTGTCTCAAGTAAAGAAGTTCGTTGTTGTGAAGAAATAAAAAAATCTGGTCGAAAATAAATTTTCAAACAGACAAGAAACAACCGAGATGGGTAGATAGTTTGTCTGATTATGAGATGGACCAGTTTTGAAAATCGGTGCAGTTGTATTTGACACACTAACCTGCTTGTGGTATTCGATTCTATCTCCTAAAAGTTCATGAATACCATCTGCTGTCTCGTTATGACATAGAAATTTTAAGGCATCGTCAATATCAAACGGATGCTGTTGATTTTCCTGTGATGAAGATTGAGAATTTGTTGCACAATCAAACTATAAAGTAGTATTGAAAAATTTACTGAGAAAAGCTCTTTGAATCGATTTGTAATTTAAATTAGAAAAAGGTTGATGTTATGTGAAGTTCGTAGAAAATAAAGCTATGTTAGGTTCCATCCAAGATGGACGATGAAACATTTTTGCATATTTAAAAAGTCGACTGAAAATCAAAAGCTAACAGTCTTAAATTCAAAATGATCAATAAATGCATCCTCGTTTAGTAGATCTAGGATAATGTACCAATTTCTAATGCCCTATCGATTCCTACTGTAAAGGATTACTTGAAGAAAGTGGAAATTCACAACCAGCAACTCCATTGTAAAGCCAGACCAATCTGTTATCAAGCTAAGTATTAACTAGCAGATATACATGAAAATAATAAATATTATTTAAATACGAGAAGGTAATTTTAGGATTCTTGCAAAAGAAAACGACAGCAATGAGCAGTGTCGAGAGATGATTTTGAAGAATAAAAGATTGAAAGCCATATTACTTACAGAAACTGGTTTTGTTTTTTTGAAGAACTTAAAAATTCTGTTTCCCTAAAAAAGATCAATTCAGAAATTTAGATCATTTAAATTTAAAAAATATAAAACAAAAATTACTTTATGAAAGATAGGCTTCTCGTCTCATTTAAGCACAGCTGTAGTTTAAGCAAATGCATAGTTTATAAATGCTGATTTGGTTCCTGAAATTTTTTTAGACTTAAACATTACATCAAAGGTAAGAAAAACTAGAAACTTTAGGTAGATTTGGTTACTTGAATAAGCATTTCTCTCAATCTAGCCCCTTTTTTAAGACGTTTGATGAAGTTAGCTTTTGCCTTTGGGAAGAAATAAAACCGCCCGATGCCCATGATGTATTAAATGTTTATTCTTCGGCAAAAAGTTGTGAGAAAACTGCCAGAAAAGACGATGAGAATTCCTAATCTGTTGCAGAAGACGAAAAATAACGAAAATTTTGATAAAAGGCAGAATGATATTTCACAGGCTAACCAATATTAACATATTTTTATCTTAAACGAACGTGCTTCAAGTTTTGAAATGATATTTTACAAGCTTACCAATTTTAATACGTTTATATCTAACACGAACGTGCACCAAGTTTTGAAATGATATTTTACAAGCTTACCAATATTAACATATTTTTATCTTAAACGAACGTGCATCAAGTTTTGAAATGATATTTTACAAGCTTACCAATATTAATACATTTATATCTGACATGAACGTGCATCAAGTTTTGAAATGATATTTTACAAGCTTACCAATATTAATACGTTTATATCTGACATGAACTTGCATCAAGTTTTGAAATGTTATTTTACAAGCTTACCAATATTCATACGTTTATATCTGATACGAATGTGCATCAAGTTTTGAAATGATATTTACAAGCTTACCAATATTAATACGTTTATATCTGATACGAACGTGTATCAAGTTTTGAAATGATATCTTACAAGCTTACCAATATTAATACGTTTATATCTGATACGAACGTGTATCAAATTTTGAAATGATATTTTACAAGCTTACCAATATTAATACGTTCATATCTGACACGAACGTGTACAAGTTTTGAAATGATATGTTACAAGCTTACCAATATTAATACGTTTATATCTGACACTAACGTGTATCAAGTTTTGAAATTATATTTTACAAGCTTATTAATATTAATACGTTCATATCTGACACTAACGTGTATCTAGTTTTGAAATGATATTTTACAAGCTTACCAATATTAATACGTTTATATCTGACACGAACGTGCACCAAGTTTTGAAATGATATTTTACAAGCTTACCAATATTAATACGTTTATATCTGACACGAACGTGTATCAAGTTTTGAAATTATATTTTACAAGCTTACCAATATTAATACGTTTATATCTGACACGAACGTGTATCAAGTTTTGAAATGATATTTTACAAGCTTACCAATATTAATACGTTTATATCTGACATGAACGTGCATCAAGTTTTGAAATGATATTTTACAAGCTTACCAATATTAATACGTTTATATCTGACATGAACTTGCATCAAGTTTTGAAATGTTATTTTACAAGCTTACCAATATTCATACGTTTATATCTGATACGAATGTGCATCAAGTTTTGAAATGATATTTACAAGCTTACCAATATTAATACGTTTATATCTGATACGAACGTGTATCAAGTTTTGAAATGATATCTTACAAGCTTACCAATATTAATACGTTTATATCTGACACGAACGTGTATCAAGTTTTGAAATGATATTTTACAAGCTTACCAATATTAATACGTTTATATCTGACACGAACGTGCATCAAGTTTGAAATGATATTTTACAAGCTTACCAATATTAATACGTTTATATCTGATACGAACGTGCATCAAGTTTTGAAATGATATTTTACAAGCTTACCAATATTAATACGTATATATCTGACAGGAACGTGTACAAGTTTTGAAATGATATTTTACAAGCTTACCAATATTAATACGTTTATATCCGACACGAACGTGCATCAAGTTTTGAAATGATATTTTACAAGCTTACCAATATTAATACGTTTATATCTGACACGAACGTGCATCAAGTTTGAAATGATATTTTACAAGCTTACCAATATTAATACGTTTATATCTGATACGAACGTGCATCAAGTTTTGAAATGATATTTTACAAGCTTACCAATATTAATACGTATATATCTGACAGGAACGTGTACAAGTTTTGAAATGATATTTTACAAGCTTACCAATATTAATACGTTTATATCTGATACGAACGTGTATCAAATTTTGAAATGATATTTTACAAGCTTACCAATATTAATACGTTCATATCTGACACGAACGTGTACAAGTTTTGAAATGATATGTTACAAGCTTACCAATATTAATACGTTTATATCTGACACTAACGTGTATCAAGTTTTGAAATTATATTTTACAAGCTTATTAATATTAATACGTTCATATCTGACACGAACGTGCACCAAGTTTTGAAATGATATTTTACAAGCTTACCAATATTAATACGTTTATATCTGACACGAACGTGCATCAAGTTTTGAAATGATATTTTACAAGCTTACCAATATTAATACGTTTATATCTGACACGAACGTGTATCAAGTTTTGAAATGATATTTTACAAGCTTACCAATATTAATACGTTTATATCTGACACGAACGTGTATCAAGTTTTGAAATGATATTTTACAAGCTTACCAATATTAATACGTTTATATCTGACACGAACGTGTATCAAGTTTTGAAATGATATTTTACAAGCTTACCAATATTAATACGTTTATATCTGACACGAACGTGCACCAAGTTTTGAAATGATATTTTACAAGCTTACCAATATTAATACGTTTATATCTGACACGAACGTGCATCAAGTTTGAAATGATATCTTACAAGCTTACCAATATTAATACGTTTATATCTGACACGAACGTGTATCTAGTTTTGAAATTATATTTTACAAGCTTACCAATATTAATACGTTCATATCTGACACGAACGTGCACCAAGTTTTGAAATGATATTTTACAAGCTTACCAATATTAATACGTTTATATCTGACACGAACGTGCATCAAGTTTTGAAATGATATTTTACAAGCTTACCAATATTAATACGTTTATATCTGACACGAACGTGCATCAAGTTTTGAAATGATATTTTACAAGCTTACCAATATTAATACGTTTATATCTGACACGAACGTGCATCAAGTTTTGAAATGATATTTTACAAGCTTACCAATATTAATACGTTCATATCTGACACGAACGTGTATCTAGTTTTGAAATTATATTTTACAAGCTTACCAATATTAATACGTTCATATCTGACACGAACGTGCATCAAGTTTTGAAATGATATTTTACAAGCTTACCAATATTAATACGTTTATATATGACACGAACGTGCACCAAGTTTTGATCGGCTACATCATAATGGAGACAACTAAAACATTGTTCTTCACATAAATTCACCATGCGATGTGATTTAACTTACCGCATCTCGACTATCGTCAATTTGGTACAAGAGATGCAGCCAATGTTCTGCAAATCCTTGCAAGTTAACTTCGTACTTCTCAATGAGATCTCTCAATCCTTTCATCTTTTGTTCCACAAAAAATTTTAACAGTAAGTAGTCAAGCTATACATATAAAAAAGAATTTCGTAAAAAAATGTTTGGCCAAACAACAGAATGTTACTAAAAGGCAGAGGTGGCTTGCTTCTATTAAAACCTATCAATACCAAAATCCTGACTCCTGTTGAGAGGTTTACAAAAAAATGAGAAGTCTCAAACCCAAATACCGATTGAAAAAAGGCAGTAGGAAGGAAGGGACTCCCAAGTGGCTCTGCTTTATTCGGTCAGCATCATCTTGCTTCTGAGGTGATAGAGTTGACGTAACAAGTAATCAGTTTTTAAAATTTTCGTGAATTTTGACGACATAACTTGGAAGAACATCATGAAATTCCTCTTTAGTGGAAAATAAACTCAATCTGTTGAAATTTGACAAAGATATCGCAAGTGAAACAAATGAATTTTGGAATGGATTACTGTTGGCCTGGTTCATAAATTTTACAGCCAAGACCAAATTACAGCTCTTTGAAACGAAAACAGCCTGTGCTAATATGGCCATATCTCAGCCAATTTGCAACAAGTTGAATGATATTGCATATTTAGGGCTTTTCATGCTTCTCTTTCAAACAATATTATCCCCATTCAATGATTCTAAAAATAGATTTTTATTATGTTAACACTCAGAAACGATATTGCCTTACGAATGACCAATATCCAAAAAATTGCTAAATCCGTAAGCCTTAAAAATTATGGCCGAGGCTGTGAAAAGCTATAATAGGCCAATGGAATGAAATGAACAATGAGAAATTGCGCGTCTGGACTAGTAAATGTTCCAAAGACAATTCGAAATTAAGATTTTATTTTCGTTTTCTTGACGGGCATTCTCATTACTGTGAAATTGATTCAGCCCTTCTTTCATACATTGAATAAATGACTCCACCTCTAGAATAATGACACATTGAATCGTTCCCCCAGCGCAAAAGCCGCATTCCTCTTTGAAGCGCCCTGGGTCTAAAAAGCACATATCACAGAAGTGGCATATACTGTATCATTTAGAAATATAGTACCCGATAACAAGCATTATTCCTATGTTTATCAATCAAGATTTTTCGAAAGAAGGACGATTTTTTGGGGGGAGGGGGGCGGCAGCGCGAAGGCAAATGATCTGAGCAAAATGAATGGGCTAATTTCGATTCGTAGTGCAAGACATGTCTTTACACATGCCTAGCGATAAAAGCTTCAAGGTTTTGGTAGATTACTTGCCTGTTGTTGATTCGTGTTTCTTACAAGATCTCTTACAAGAGCAGAGTTACTTGATTCCATTGCAAGTCTTATTTTCGTCTGTGTTTTCTTTTTTTCCTCATTGAACTGCAACATCTCGACACCTGTAGGATTGAAAGATAAAAAATTTATGTGTTGATGTGAAAATACACTGTCCTGTAATGTGAATGCACGTAACAAACGAGATATGATAAAATAAATCGAGTACAGGTATAGGCAAAAAGTTATATTTTCGAAAGATGGGTGCTAAAACTTCAACCGTTCTTAAAAATAGTTGGAACGCCACAATACTTAAGCTCAAATGCTGAGAACCCCATGATTTAACTACTTGCCCAAGTTACCAACGCAATCGCTAAGTCCTTTTCCCTCTTTCAAGGTATACTGATGATTCCTTTCCGCGGACTTACCCATTTAGATGAAAAACAGGCTTCGATTTGGTTTGAAATCCATTCTATAGGGACAAAACTCTAGAATGATTTACCATTGACCATTAACAACCCTAACTCGAAATCTACATTGAAATCTACAAAACTAAAACTAAACTTGCAACTTGCTAAATGAATGCCTTAATTAAATATAAAAGAATAAAAGAAATCATAATAAGACCAAAAAATAAAGCTACATAATAAATATTCAGTAATCAAGAGCTGATAGCAGTAGACAATGCTTGCCAAACTAGAGCAGTAATATTAAAAACTTACATTTCAAAGCTGCTTCGATTATCTTTGCTTTCAGATCTTCACTTTCTTTACCAACTTCGTATTCGAAAAGCTTTTAACAAAAACCTTAGTTTTAACATTCTTATAGCAGTCGGCAAAAACAAAGGGATGGCAAATGGCATGCATTGTTGGCAATGGACATACAGGGAGTCTCTGAAGAGTAGGTCATCGCTTTTACTTTGTTTTTGTGATGTGGAAACGGGTAGACTTTTGTTGAAATATGGTAGTAAGAAAACCGGTTCAAAACGGGTAGGAAAGAGAGGAAAAGGGAGGAAAAGGGAGGAAAGGAGAGAAAAAGGAAGAAAAAGGAAAGAAAAGGGAGAAAAAGGGAGAAAAGGGAGAAAAGGGAGAAAAGGGAGAAAAGGGGAGAAAAAGGGAGAAAAAGGGAGAAAAAGGGAGAAAAGGGAGAAACTGGAGAAAAGATAGAAAAGAGAGAAAAGGAATGGAAATAGAGCCTAACCCTTAAAAATAATTTTGGTTACTATAAAGTCCTTACAGAATTTATCGTAATATTGTCATAATATGATTGATGATATAACATGCTCAACATTATTTTGAAGAGAATAGCCAGCACGGCAAAAAAGAGACATCTTTTATTTCGACATAAATCATTGTAACCAGCTTTAATCCAAATTCGACAAAATTAGTACGACGAAATCAGGACGGCATAATCAGAAAGACATAATCGCCGTAATCACGTAATCGTTTCGGACATAATCGCCGTGCTGGCTGTTTGGTTTAGTATCAAGCTGCGCTTCCTAAGATCTGAATAAAATTGAAGCGAATTGATATAAGAGAATATAATGACAACTTACAAAATCTCTTCTATCATTGACACAATCAAAAACCAATTTCACGTATTCTTCAAGGGCAGTGTTGCATATTCCAAAACTTTGCAAAAGTGTCTTTATCTTTTCCTCTTTTTCAGACACAGTGCTCCTAGCAAACGATTAGATAAAAAATCATTCATTAGCAATTTATGAGAAAAGGGCCAAAGTAATGCGGCGGTACGACTACTTCAAAATATACCCAAAGGTTACCCCTTTTGAATGCCCAATGAAATGACTAATTCCCTTTGAAATAGTTTGAAATTGCCAATACCCAATACCCAGACAAAATAAATAAACCATATTCTCTGGGAATAGATGGGCTAAAAAATGAAATTTGAACTGACAAAAGCATTGCTGGATGCCTTATCAAAGTCTGCAAAAGAACCTATACATCCCTACGAAGTACGTTATGAAAGATGTAAAACACCTTGCGATAAATGCTAAATGAAACGATTATGAACGATAGCCGCCAAACTTACATTTCTTCCCAACAATGGAGCAGCTCAGAGAGAAGGTCAGCAAGTCTACCACTGCCTTTCATTATTATTACAGGAACAGGGTGGATTGAAATAGTTGCTGGAAAAAGCACTGAATGCATCATCTTAAGACTTGTTCGGCCTCCTCCAATAAGAATGCAGATACTTGTGATGAAATCTAAAAATGATAAACAGCGTGAGTATCATTTTGCATTGTAACAGACTGGTGCTGACAAGAACGCTTTCGTGCTTTCTACACAGAGCACCTAGGGTGCTAGCCAGGGCTCGTTATCTCCATTGTTATATATTAATATTCATATTGAATTTATGTTACTCTCTTTCCACGGAACACTTTTTCCTTGTGATATGAAATTTTTGTTCAGTAACAAAGATCAAAGGTAAGCTTAAAACAAAAATAAAGACTGAATAAAATCATTCAGTATTCTCAGCACTTCATTTTCTGTTGATCTATTACCAAAATATTCCCGGCATTCCTTGCAAAGCACGATCGTCAACCAATCAAATTTATTCACACAAGCTGAAACGACCTCTTTTAAACAGTCAGTGAAACCCCTCATAGACAGCCAATCTTGTTACCTCGTTTTTATCAAATAAAGTTAAATGCCCCGAAAACCTATGTGGATGCATAAATTTCCATTCATATCTTTCTATTGGTACTTTTAGAAAATTTTCATCAGCAACTTAGGAGAATATGAGTGTCTTTGAAATAAACAGTGAACATAAAAATCATAGTCTGCACAAATCTAGGACACATCGATAGAACAAATTATGTCTAGTTTTCTGGCAATGATGCGAAATTGAATCTAAGTTCTTAGAGATTTCAGACTAACTCTTTCCTAGAAAAAGAAATGCAGTGTAAACGAAATGAGATCATGTTTTTGATGTGAGGCAAAACAATAACTTGTTGATTTGACCAATTGTAGCTTCGAACAAAAATTGGGGATTGACGAATAATTAATTCTTTGGTAGTATGACAGTTAAAATTTAGGGCAACTGTATTGACAAACTAAGCAACTCAAAGTTTTACTTGCAGTGGCATATTTGCTAAAAATTCGCAGGAAATTTTGCTAAAGTTTTACAGGAAATTTGACTCCTTTATTTTTCTGTCCTGGACTGCTAGTCGTGCACATTCGAGAGAGCATTCATACGAGGGGCATTTACGACGTAAGAAACAATGTTTGCCGTTACTGTAACTCCTTTGAATAACATCCTTTTTTTATAGAGGGGGAGTCTCCTTTCAGTAGCTACCTCTCCTTTAAAACTAATTCGAAGATAAAATTAAAGCTAAAATTAAGAGGGGTTATTGTTTACGAAGGCAGTATCTTATTCTGCTTAAAGGCTTGTTTTCATATAACGTATTTCGACGTATTTCATCGCAACTCAGAGTCTACGATCAATTAAGATTTTTTCCGTTATGTGAAAACCGACCAAATTTTATGAAAACCATCTATCGTAAATAATCCTAATAGAACGTAATTCCACGTAATTGAACGTAATTCATCGGAAGAAATCAAACAATTTTGTTTCTCCCGACAAAATACGTTGAATTACGATGAATTAAGATGAAATACGTTTTTCGGTTTTCATATAACGTTAAAATCGTGGAACCTGAATTGCGATGAAATGGGTCAAAATACGTTAGATGAAAACCAGCCTTAACATCAACAAACAATTCATTAAAAACTACAGAATTTTTACAGTATTCAAAGAGAACAATCAAATCAATAGCCAATGCTCAAGATTGTAGTAAAAAGAGATCAATTACGGTAAATGGAAGCTAACCTTTGCAAAAACCATGTGATAGATGTGAGAAAAATGCGATTTCAATCCCTAAGGGCTTCAATGAACCATCGTCAATAAGAAAAAAATCACTATGATTGGGATCAAGAGGAAAGCGACTGCTCTCTCCTTGAATCTCTGGATTGTAGTGTGCATTTTCTTCTCCCTTTAAAAAAAAGTGTCCATTAGAAAATGGCTAAACATTGATTTTCTGTCAGCCACACGGAACAATCTTGTTGATAGATTCCTAAAAAAGGTTTTTTGAAAAATGGCTTATTTGAAAAATAGCTTGAAATTTTGCGATATATTCTGAGACAGTGAGAAAAAACATAAAATGATATGTTTCAGATCTACAAGGTGAACCATGTCTCAAAATTGAATGCATTTGCATAACAAACCAATACTTAACAAACCATAACAAGCTTAGATGTCGGAATCGGTAAAGTCAGCTCTCGGAGAAGCATACCCATCACCTCTGAAAAACATTAGCCCATATGCTGCATACTTAATGTCCCTCTCAATAGAGACATATCTCCACCTTTTCAGTTAGTTTCAATCAAGTTCATAATGCTTCCAGCATATAAAAAATTGTAATACTTCACAATATGTTTACAATCATCATTGCCAAATGGGATTTACAAAGAAGGCTGGACGAGTAACCAACTCAGGCCAAAATTAGCCTGCGTGCAGACACAACTGTTTTCAACTCGGGTCTTCGGTTTCCTTTTTACTATCTCTCCGTTGAGTTGAATTGAAAAACAATGAATTTTGAATTCAACAAAAAACAATCCAAGTCCTGTTTTTATGAAAAAGTTTTTTGGAATACTCGCACCAGCAAACATTCAGGTCAATGAATTAATACCTTTAAATTACCAAAGTAAAATCTTTCATATATGGAAAGGACACTGCTTGGTATATGGGTAAGAATGCATGTAACTCATTTCCAAAAGACCTGATAAATGTTGGGACATTGATAGCCTTTAAAAGGAGAATAAAAACAATTTGATATTCCGAAATCGCGACTGTAGGTTCTCAAAATAGTCATTCAACAAGTGGGATTCGCTGCAAAAAAACTTTCTTAACTCTATACTAATTTATATCATTTTTATTACTAACATATAATAATGTTGTATACTTAGGCTTTTAAATTGTTGTTATAGCACCATTAACTTGTAAATAGTAGGACTTAGTGAGCTAATAACTATGTAAATGCCAACTTTGAATGAAAGAATTATTATCATTATTATTCTTGATATTTCTACTTTTAGTTCGGCGTATTTCGTTATTTTTTCAACTTCTTTATCTGCGATGTTTTTATCTGCAGGTATGGCAGCATCTATTATAAGACATTCTCCGCTTTCAACGTCATGTAGAATTATATCTGGTCTGCGCTGCTCAATTATCCTGTCCGTCTGGATATCAAAGTTCCATAAAATCTTTGGCTTGCCAACTTTATTGAATAATATCTCAGGTATATGATTGTACCACTCGTCTGGAAGTGTTATATCCAAACTTTCTACATAGTGCAAATTGAGACAGACTTTATCGTCATCTCTTTTTGCGCCAACATTTTACAACCTGCAACAATGTGATCAACATTTCCACTCGCTCTTTATTTGTTGCTGTTGTATGATAAATGTCTTTCATTACCGCATTAGTATTCAGCGCCTGGTCTTGTGCAGCTACCAACAAATTCTCTGTCTCTCTTTTTAAATCTCCACTTCGGAGCCACACCCATGATGATTCACCATTCTTAACATCTTTCGTACCCCTATGAAACTGCCCATGTAACTGCATTGCTTCAAGTGTTTTCTTTCTCTCACGGGTAACCCTATTACCCAGTTAGTCCCATTTCAACTGCAGCATGCTTGAGAAGCTCTTCTTCACTTTTTGCAATGTAATGTTCTACTGATCTTATCTCTTCCATTCACACAGTCAGAAATGCTGATAAGTCCACTTCCTCCAACTTTTCTTTCTATGTACAATCGAATGACATTTGCTTTAGGGTGAAGCGCTCCATGCATGGTAAAGGTTTTTCTCGTTTTTCTGTCCAACATGTCTATTCCGTCTTTCGTCCAATTCACTACTCCAGCACTATAGCGTACCACAGCAACTGCCAATGTGTTGATCGCATTAATTAGGTTTCTAGAGTTGAGCTTGGTTTTCAATACAAGTTTTATCCGTTTCAAATATGTTGTTTTCACCTTTTCCTTCATTTCCTTGTGCATGATATTGTCGACTTCTAATATACCTAAGTATTTGTAACCATCTTTATCAGCTTCCAAAATGCATTCTTCTTCCGATAAAGCTATTCCATCACAATGAACTCTCTTTCCTCTCTTCATAACTATAGTTGCATATTTTGATACACCAAACTCCATTCCAATATCTTTGCAAAACGCCTTAACTGTTCGAACAAGTAAATCGATCTCTTTTTCAGACTTTCCATATACCTTTAGGTCATCCATAAAGAACAGATGATTAAGGGAAGGCGCATTCTTTCCTAGTTTGTAGCCCATGTTGATCTTTTTTAGTTCCAATGATATTGGTATTAGTGCTATAACAAAAAGCAAGGGAGAGAAAGTGTCACCCTGGAAGAAACCTCTCTGTACAGCTACACTTCCCAGTAATTTATTGCTGGCTATCAAGTTCGTTTTCCATTTTTTCATACTACTGGTTTCAGCTGAAATTTTTCCATTGCTTTTATGTCTCAAGTTCAATGGTTTTAAGCACTCAGAATCATTTAGGATTTCCTTTAACTGCAACAGAATACTTTGCTATTCTTCCTCTAAGACGGTATCAATGGTTCGTGTTTCGATTGCCTGTGTAATATCATCGATCTCATTTTGATTGCTCCTATCATTCATGTTTTGCACCGCGATCTCAAATTCAGTTCTTTCAATATTGTCTTCAATTACCTCTTCACCCCTTTAAATGCCTTCGCTTAATCTTTGATTGACTACGTTACCCTCCATGTCAATCTTTCCTTGTATCTCCTTTATTTCAATTGGTGTTAGCCAACCTCTTCTTTGAATCATGCGAGCCTGGTTCATTAACTTATTTTCTGTCAACTCAAACAAACCCTTGTTTTCCTAGTGTATTGGCATTCTTCCATCAACACCTCAACCTCCTTCACTCTTGGCTCTCAAATAGCACTCCGTCGAAACTGAGTAATCTTCCTTACTCCATCTACGCTTACCGCAAGTCCTTCTTTGACTAATCGTTGGGTGACGACCAGGTGCTGCTTGCTCTGACACAGCACACCTGCCGGACGCGACAGCTTCACCCGAGGTTCCACCTAATCTGTTTGATTGTTGAACTCCACTTGTTAATGGGAAGTGGTGGTGTTTTTTGTGACACCATCACTAGGGGGGTTGCCGGCCAAGGCTTAATAGTCCCCCTACCCAAGAGACAGACTAGCCCCGCCAGACGCCAACCCGATACTTCTTGGTCTCGGGGAGAGCTAACAGTTAGTATACCTTGCTCAAGGGTGACCTGGAGGTAGTTGCGGCAAAGGGTAAGCTCATTCTCCCACGTCGAAACTCCACAAACGGATGCAGTTTTACGTCATACCAAGGACATATTACTATTATTATTACCATTATTGTTATTATCATTATTATTATTATTACTATTATTATTATTATTATTTTAGTTCGCACGGGGCTTGGTGTTCTACTGATATTTGCCTATGTCAGCTATCAGCAGTGAACTGAGGCGACAATGTTTTATGTGGTAGCTACGTAATTCTGTCCTTAGTAGCGTTATTTGGATGCTATCATAAACTGACTCCTTTATCATTCAGTTCTCTAACATCCGCATCAATATCCTTGCAGTTCCCAGTAACTGCAAAGATATTCCCTTCCAAGGAGCCATCCTTTCATTCTTACTAAACGAGTCAATGACAAAACTCTACTTGATCCTCTGTCCAAAGCAAGATGCCAAAAACATATATAATTTCACAGTTCACTATCTAAATAACACGCTACCACATTAAAAACACGTGCCTTTGGAAGCTTAGCCCCACTCGTGATTGTTGCATCACTACTTCATGTCATTGCAGGATGTCAGGGGTACCTAGATCGTCGCTACACTTGGAGGCACAACTCTGTGTTAAAGTTGATAGCCACTTCTCTCCAAGTCAATGAATGTTCTCCATTAAACGTTGATTTACCTGGTTTCATCTCCCCTTGATTCATAACTGGAGAGGAATCGCCCTCATCTGCTTCTTACAACCAATAACAAATATTTATACATAGTTGAAATGACAGTGGGCTTTGAAACAAGTCTCCGATGCTGCCAGGAAAGGCTCAAAGTATCGTCCACTCATTGCTTGTCTTTCACCCCAGTACCCTGACAATAGATTTAATTTATGGGAACCCAATTTTGAATAAATACAGTATGGACAGTAGAGTGGACAGAGAGACGATGTTGTTGTAATATACAAATACAGGTTGCAGTTTGCAAATCACACCACAGACATAAATGAAAGTTAACAAAACTGATATTCGCTTCAATAAAACATACCTCTTCAAGGTCTAGAGACTCATTTCCTTTAACGCATTCCCAAGGTATAACACCGATGCAGCTGCTGGTACTGCATTGGTTCCATCTTTTGGATTTTTCATTAAAAATTGATCCAATCAATTTGGGAAGTTCAACATGAGAACCTCTAGTGATTAATATGCAATTCAAAACATCCAAAACCTAAAAAAGCGGCGAAAAATCAAAACTACTTCCGGCAAAATATTAAACTAAAACAGACAACGGGCTAACGATCTTGTTAAATCTTCCGCAGTGAGGGATTCAAGCAATTTGTTCCCTAGAGAAAATAATGTCTCTCAGGCTGGAGGGATAATCGCGCCCTAGCCTAATTGTTATGTTAGAATTGCTCCGCATCGTATATGCATCAAGCAAGGACTTTTTAGCTTGATAAAAATACCTAAAGAAGAGGATTTAATTTTTCACAGCATGTCCTATCATCGTAACAATTCAACACAGACCATCATATACAGTTAATTTTCATTCTACAATACGTTCTAACAGACGCTAGCATTAACTCTCACTGTAGAACAGCTTACCAAATAACAATGTCTGCTAAACGACCCTGCATTTCCTCTAATAAACGCTAGAATGTATAGTAAAATCAAATCTTTTTGCGTTACATGTACTGGTGAGAAACTTTCATTAGAAGAGCGAGGCATTAAACCCGTATTCGTGATGACAACGGTCGAACGTAGATGATATTATGCATTTTTGAGGACATGGACAACGGCTGGAACAAACTGCTTAGAACGAACAGCTTAGAATTAATTGCAGACGTACAGTTGTAATTCCAACTCTGAGTGTATTGTCAAGCTCTTCGCTGATGGAATCTTTAAGGCAGCCACCAATAAATGATATAGAGATTTCAGGGTGCCTGTCTTCCTCCCACATACCAGAATTATGATACCAACAAGCGTCTGTGATATCTGTGTCATCACTAATACGAATGTACTGAAAAACATATTTATAAGTGCATGGAATGTCAAATAAAAACACCTTAAAGAATAGAATTCACATCATATGTTAGTATTGATAAAGTACTGATGCAATCTCTTTTTCAATAATTACACCCTCTTCATAAACAATAGAAAATGCGAGCTAAATAACAAGTACATATCTGAAAAAATAACAAAATGATAGAATAGAAAATAGATGATTAGCACTTAATTCATAAGTACAAAATAAAGAAGTGCAGTAAGGCAGCTATATTGCAAGTTAACTTTATCATTAAATTCTCTTTGCAAAGGAGTCAAGAAATTCCTTCCATGGTTTTCACGAGCGAAATGGCATACAAGGTGCAGCATACGAAAGAAAAGGCATACGAAGGGGTCAACGCCTGTGATTAAGAACGTACAGTCAAGTGTTCTGTCAAGAGCCTCTATTCAATCTGGAGTTGCACATCTTCGGACAAATGACGTGCTATTAGTATGAAGGGAAAGAGACGCAGCAGTATCTGTGATGGCAAAATTTTGAAAAAGAAAGACCCCCATGAACAATTTTTTTGCGGTACAGAATTTGAAAATGGCTTTGAAAAAAGCAAACATTTTACGACATACTAAAAGCTTTTTCGTCTGACACTCGTCAGAGCATAAAACATCAGAATAAGGTTCCGAAAGAACACGATGGAAAGATTGATTGGGGGATAGGATAAAACAGCATGTTCCTTCCAACATAAGAAACAAAACTGCCCCTCAAAGAGATCTAGAAACACTGTCAAAAAAAGTGATTCTGCCATCGGTCAACATCTTTTAGACAACCCAGATTGTGCAAAACTCTATAATGACGACATGTTTCGGATAATTGGCAGAGCCCGGTCGTCCTTCCATCTAGCAGTTTTGGAGTCGATCTACATAAAAACAAAAAAGCCGCCATTGTGTAGACAGAAGGAGTTCGTTTTCTCTCTTGGACTCCATTGGTAATTTTTCTTTAGGCTCGCGGCACTGATTGGTCAACCATACCGGTCTTGTGCTTGCGTTTTTCTGATTGGCCTATTTCGATCCACAACTGGGTATATATTTTCCATCGTGTTCTTTCGGAACCTTATTCTGACGTTTTATGCTCTTGAGGAGTGTCAGACGAAAAAGCTTTTAGTATGTCGTAAAATGTTTGCTTTTTTCAAAGCCATTTTCAAAGACCCCCATCTTTAAAGACAGCATTGCCATTGGTAACATCTAGAGTTTAATAGCTGAATTCAGTTTTATAGAAATCGGACTTTTTTTATGTGATATTTATTTGATTTGTCGTTATGCTGGATTTCATGATTTATCTAACATTTTTTAAGGTTTTTGATAGAATCTCACCCGAGCACTTTTGGCCTGGCTTCCAGTAACTTCATTCAGCGGGAAAAATACTCTTTTTTCAGTTGAAGGAACCTTTTTTGTATCGTTTTGAGAAGTCCACTCTCCATCTACCGAAATGTCCCCAACTCCATTCGCCACATCATCTGGATGGCTTGCAATGGGTCTTCCGCACTGACATCTGGATGTAGCAAAAACCAAGATAAAATAATTACAAAATAGATGAAGAAAAAATGAAGAATAGCAAAAAGTTTATGCATCGTGTGAACTAACAGTAGAGGAACAAAGTGATATATTCACTGCTATAACTATAGAAATTAGCAGGAGCGACTTTTGTCTTTCTTCTTAACACATGCAGCTTGACAGTGAATCACAAAATGAGCAGCAAAAGCAGATTTCAAAAAATACTAACAGAATTAAAATAACTGAAAATTACAAAGTAATAAAGATAATGTTGACGTAATTGAAAAGAATTGAAAAGAAGGCATGGAAGAATAACTCACTCGTTTTCATTCCTTCTTTTCAGACGACAACACTCTTTGTAGAAAAACGTCAACGTTCTAGGCCCTTCCTGTAAAGAAGCAGTTAAAATACTAATCATAACAACTAATCATGAATAGAAGTTCACAGTATGACGACTAAGTTTTGTTTTAATGAATAGCCATATAAGGATAGAGGCATTAAAACTAATGTTTACCGGCTGTCATTAAGAGCTCGATGCCGTATTGGGAGAGCTATACACACTATTTGCTGTATGGAATAGGATTGTTCAAAATATCTACTCAAAATTTCACGCTTGATGCGATCATCAGGCAACTAAGGATGGAGCCAAGTTATGGATAGGCTACCCTAAAATGAGTGACAAAGAAAATTCTACTGAATAGGCGCTGACTAAAGATTTGACCCCCGTTTTAAGATGTCAATTTGAAATTATACATAATCTGCTGTCAGATTGCATTAGAATACTTCTTAACTATAAATAGAATCATGTTATTTCGAAGTAAAATAAGGGTAGATACAGTGAAGGCTGCAGTGCACGTGTTTCACGCATTTTCAAAATTGGCCGTAACCTCTGGCTTGGGGAAATGCCCATATTTGATAAACGCAGCAGGTATTCGCCGTTTACCAAAAATTTTCTCGTTACCAGAGGGTAAGGGTAGCTAAATATCACGGTGGCAAAGAGTTCGGAGAGATGTTACCCTTGTTGTATAATACGCCTGGTCTATAACTGTCTAATCGAGAGGATAAATACTGTTGATCGCTCTGTTCTGATTTCCTATAGAATTTAGATGTCTTATAGTATTCACGTATCATCAGGGTCTTGAAGGCTAAGTTGTATAAAAGCTCCGCAAGCAACCAATTACCATTTATACAAGCTATGGAGTTTTCCACTGAAACCCTCCAAACGCCATTGCCCTAGACACCTAGCAGCTGCGCAAGCAAGCATAAATTAAATTTATTTTGACAAAAAAAGGCAACCTGAGGGTCAGTTCCAGTTCCCCTCATTGTCCTAGTCCCAGACCCTTCCCGAGGCTGGCGTTGATTTTGTTGCACCTGCAGCTCATTGTCATTTCCTGTATTCGTCTCTTGCGATACTTCATCAAGCAGTTTCGATTTTTCATTGACAATTGATAATTCGATTTTCTCATCAGCTTCATCAACATTTACTCTGAGAATTAAAAAAAGACAATTGATGATTGAGATCATTTCAAAATTTTTCGCTGCAGTGCAACGTACTAGATCTACATCTGTTAACCACCTGTTGACCCCCAAATAAACTTTCAGACCTTCAGACTCCTTTCCTAAAAAACGTCTAATTCATTTTCAAGAACCACATTGGCCTATAAAATTTGTGAGAATAATAACACTGAGATGTCTGTCTGTTGTCGAAGATTCTTCGTTTTAAACAGGGCAGCTTCCTTTTTTAATTATCTTGTTTTAACTACGGGGTAACTTACTTTGTGAGCTGAAAAAAGCTACTCTCCATTTAAAAATCAAAACCAGTATACAACAACACTACGCGAGTTTTTTTAATGTTGCCTTACACGGGAGTTTTCTCATCAAGAACCAGAACCTTATACTTAATGGATCAAAATTAAACTTTATAAGTGGAAATGGAACTGCTAGTAACAAAATATTCTTATGATCGAAAAGCAGGACAATTCTTTTTTATGTCATAAAACCGAACCTTGAAAACCGTAAATCCTGTAGCACATTTCCATCCCCAAACCAGTTGAGTGGCACCTATCTCCTGTAAAGTGCCACTCTGGGTCCTTGCCCTACCTGCCACCATATATAGAAATAAGGATTCCAGGGATTGAAAAAGGATTTTTCTTCCTGGGAGCATAATAAAAAATTGAAGATTTCCTTCGGAACTTCGACAAAGTTTCCAGCCACTGAAAGTGATATTTAAGTTGCTTTATTTGTTTAAACATTTGTACTAAAAATAAATTGTCACATCAAAAAAGAAGTAATTGTTGGTCCTTGATTTTTCGAACAGCAATCACCTTGCTTATACTTTATGAGATGAACAAGGAGAACGTAATCGACCACAATACTCATAGTTTGTTTTCAAGGTTAAAGTTGGTAGATCTTAAAATCTATAATAGCCTTGATTTAATTTTATATCAGTACTAGCAAACTAGATACCTTATAAGTATTGATGTATCCTACCCCCTGCCCTGAGTTTCATGTTTGTTGCTCAATTTTATCATCAAAACTAGTAGTTCATACAACAAGTAAAGATACTATTTTATTTTTCAATAGTTGAAATTAATGTTTTAAATTAGGGGTGGTGCTGGAGGCAAAGATGTAAGCCCAAAACCCTTACGTTCTATTTAAGCTAGTGATGAAAAACTTATGCGAATGAATAATAATGGACACATCCACACAGTTTTGGGGGCATGTTCACCTTCCAATGTGTTCGCATGTTCACATTGGGGCATGTTCACAATTGACGTAACAAGATTTGCTGTCTTTAAGTGTTTCTACTTATCTAGAATGGCTAATACTAAGAGGAATGAACTTTGTTTTCGTTTGCTTGGATTAAATCAGTAGCTGAAAATCATGCCCGAATTACTGGAAATTTGGTATAACAGACGCTGACAATACCAGATGATTGTAATTTTGAAAGCTAGACTTCGTTTTTTGCTTGTATGGAAAAGCAGAAATTATATAGTATGTTTGTATATCACAAGAAAATAGCATTCCTTAGAAAGAGAGTAACATTAATTTAATGTTCATATTAAAACCAAGCAATGGAGATTTTACGCTAAAAAATTTCCTGGCAAACACCACCCATTCCCTGCAATGAAGTTGTGCTAAAAATTGTTCTTAAGTTGTGCTTAAAAACATTTTAAGGCACACTTAAAACATTTTAGACGATAACAAGAAAATGAGTGCAAAAAATATTCTGCAATGTATTTCAAGCTAATCTAAAGGGCGTGGTCTAAAGGGGGAAAATATTCCTCATCTTCCAGTTTTGCTTCAGGGCCTTATCTTTCAGTTTTGCCTCAGGGCCTTTGAAACCTATCCGTGGCCCTGCTTGTAATTCATGCAAAACGAGCAGAGATACTTGATTTGGATCAGTTAATCAACCATTTCAGGAAAATGTAACCCAGCATATTTAATTGATAATGAATTATGTTGTTAAGGAATTAGAGACAATATTCTCTTTTCGATTAGAGACAGAATTATTGCCAATGAAACATTCTGATCACGAGCACATTTTGATGTAGAGAGATCCATTTCCCAATTCATCGTGACGTCCACTCTCCAGTAGATTCACCACCAGAACATCAAGTAGATCTGCAAACTTCTCTATGTCTTTTGAACATCCATCTCTCACTGGTTTGAAATTATCCATGTCCTCCAAGTGAATTGCGATTTCCCTCCTCTTGCCACCAAATTTTCGCTCTAACCTGTCCTTTGCAGCTTCATATGCAGCTCCAGAAAAGCCAAGATTCTCGATCGCTTCCAGTGCAACGCCAGATAGATATTGCCTCAACTGCAGCAGCTTGTATTCAGGAGTCGCAGGAGCTCTGTCAATGCAAGCCAGAAATGCAGCTTTCCAGTTCTCATACTTTCGCTTGTCACCAGAGAAAACGGGAATCGCAACACGCTGCAGCTGTCGCCACATGTCCTGACCAAGTGACTCTTCGTGTGAATATCGCTCAGATCGTCTGTGATCACCACCAAATCTGACTGACTGTTGCAGTTGCTGTGAATGTTCCTCCGGGGTCATTGGAAACTGACTTCTTTTCGCGCCAACACCGACATTGGTTGACTTGTGCTGAAGCTCTTGTCGCTCAGAATTGTTGTGAAATTGAGAAGAATCAAATTTCGCTTCCTGAAATGGCAAATAAGTCTCTTGATTAAATCTAGGTGCTCCAAGGCTTACCTTTCGATCCTCTCGTGGGTTGTAAGATCCCGCTGTCTTACTTGATTCTGAATCTCTTCGTTCATCCAGATACTCCTGTACTCTGTTGTGGGTCTCTTCGAATTCTTGCACCAATTGCTCCATTTCCTGAGTAACTTTTTGTCTTGCTGTTCCGTTCTTCTGCCATTGATAGTGCTCTGACAGTGCGATCATGATCTTCAGTGCCCTTTCTTGTGTGCTGTCCAATTTCGTTTGCCCATCTCGAACCTGATGTCTGTTTGGTAGATCCATTTCTTCCACCAGTTCCAACAACTGCTTTCTTGCACGTGTGAACGCCGACTTTGCTTTTGCTTTTTCTTGCTTCAAGCTTTCCAATTTTTCTTCCAAATCTTCCACGTCTTCCCCTCTTCCGATTCCATCTTCTGTCCTTCCTTCTTCACCTGCGTTTGAAGTCATGCTTCTCGTCAATTGGCCTTCCTCTGTCCAAGTTTGTCCACGGCAAAACTACCCTCTGCTACCAAATGTTTGAAAGACCGTCCGCGACTTTTGATCCTTAAGCCCGAAGGCTAAAAACTAACTAACTAACTACGAATACGAACCTAATTTATACTATTAACGACATAAACAACTTTAAAATATTGTCACTAGTTTGATTGTCCATTACGCAAGGGATTAACAAATACTGTCCTCTAAAAACACATTAACACTCTCTACTAACCAACCATTGTCCAATTTAACGCAAAACAACTTGCTCAAACAACTATTGTGTACAGACGCGTAAAAGTTATTGTTCCAATCAACAATTACAAGAATGAAAGTATCACATGTCTGTCTTCTGAACAATTTGACTACGAAGAAACTTTTACAATTTTACAATTTGACTGACTTTGACTACAATCTGAAGAAACTTCCAGAAACACTGCTGACGCAGTACAATCGATGGATCTTTGAGAATCGAAGAAGAGAATGCGTTGAAACACTGAAGATGTGGGTGATTCAAGAGTCTGAATTCTACACAGTTGCAAGAGAGACAGTGCATGGTGTATCAAGCGAAAGAAGAAACAGTAGATCAAGAAACTTAGCAGGAGAGAAGAAAACCACATTCTTTGGTGCTACTGAAGAATTAACACAAGTGAATCGTTTTCAAGTTGGTAGATCAGGTGTCACTGGTGGGAAATACGGTAAGCAGCGACTGTGCAAAGTGTGCAATGGTAGACATGGTGTATGGGCATGTGATGCTTTTCGAAACATGGACATTCGACAGCGATGGAATGTGGCAAAGCATTTCAAATTGTGTTTTCGGTGCCTTGGTGATGACCACAGTGGTAGTAAATGTACTCGAAGTAGAGTGTGTGGTATTCGTGGATGTCAGGAAACACACAACAAGTTGCTGCATAGCATGGGTAACAGGATCACTGGAAAGCAAAACAGCAATGAAACAAGGACACCAGAAGCCTTCAATCAGCAATCAGTCAGCAGTAGCAGTCAGCAACAGTTGTCATCGTCAGTCACGGAGGGGGAGCGTTTGCAGAGGAATTTTGCAACACAAACAACGATGGTGTGCTCAAAATCAGATGTCAAAGGAGCAACAGCATTGAGAACCATTCCGGTTGTTTTGAAAAATGGCTGTCGAAGATTGAAATTGAACGCACTTCTTGATGATGCCAGCACTCAAACGTATGTGAATGAAGATGTTGCAGCAGAACTGGGTCTCAATGGTACCTTTGAAACAATAAAGGTCAATGTTTTGAAGATTGCAAGTCTTTTCAAACCATGCCTGTCGAGTTTGGACTTGAAAGTGTAAGTGGTGATGTTGACATCAGAGTAAAAGCACTTACTGCAAAGAGAGTAACTGGAAACATGAAGGTCATCCAATGGTCACATCTAGCAGACAAATGGCCTCATTTGAAGCACATTGATTTTCCAGACACCGGTTTGAGACCTATCGTGGATTTGCTGATTGGTATTGACTACCTTGACATGCACTATTCTTACGAAGAAGTCAGGGGACAAGAAGGAGAGCCCATTGCCAGACGAACGCCATTGGGGTGGACATGCGTAGGATGTCCAGAAGGCAAGAAGATCCCTGATACCCATTTCAGCAAGACGACTTTGTTTACTACAAGCAGATCTGATGTCGATGAAATCAACTCAACAATGAAGAAGTTTTGGGATATCGACTCAGCTGGAACGTTCACCCAGACAACAGTGGTGAGTCCTGATGAGAAGGCTGCTTTGGAAAAAGCTGAGAATTCTTTCAGGTTCATTGATGGTCGATATGAAGTTGGAGTACCATGGAAAGAAGATAGTTATAGAATGGTGAACAATCACAAAATGGCAATGAAAAGACTTCAGAACACCGAGAAACGTTTGCTCAAGAACCCAGATGTGATGAAGGCATACGATGAAGTCATTGATCAATATTTGGACAAAGGATACATACGAAAGGTTCCAGTCTCTGAGAAGCAACCTGACAGCAAGTGGTATCTTCCTCATTTTGCTATATTGAAACCCAACAAAGCGACCACCAAGATCAGAATCGTCTTTGATGCTTCAGCAAAGTATGAAGGGACATCCTTGAATGACATGATACATTCAGGCCCGAAGCTGCAACGAGAATTGTTTGATGTTTTGCTACGCTTTAGATGTCATCCCGTCGCTGTTGTCTGTGACATTGCTGAGATGTATTTGAGGATTCAGATTCCAGAAGCTGACCGTGTGTATCATCGATTTCTTTGGAGAAGATGTGACCAGGACAGAGATCCAGAGGAGTATGAATTCAGCCGAGTGGTGTTTGGTATAACAAGTTCACCGTTTCAAGCACAGTTTGTGATTCAAAAGCATGCTCAGTTGTACAGATCAGAATATCCGATGGCTTCAGAAACTGCACTCAAGTCAACCTACATGGATGACAGCATTGATTCAGTACAAGATGACGAAAAGGGAATCCAACTGTATCATCAGCTTGCAGCTCTATGGAACAAGGCAGGCATGCATGCAAGAAAGTGGCTCTCTAATTCTCCAGAAGTTCTCTCTGCAATCCCAGTAGAAGACAGAGCATCTGAAATTGATTTGGACAATGGAGAGCTTCCAACTGTAAAGACCCTTGGAATACTTTGGCGAGCAAAGGAGGATATTTTCAGTTTTCACTCAAGCCCACCTGAAGAAAATCAAATCATCACAAAGAGATCGTTTCTGAGAACCATTGCATCATTGTTTGACCCTCTTGGTTTCTTGGCACCATTCATCGTTAGAGCAAAAGTGGTAATGCAGGAAATCTGGCGACAAGGCTTCGATTGGGATGATGAGCTCGATGGCGAAGTCAAGTCAAAGATTCAGAGTTGGTACAGTGAACTTCACGAGTTGTCAAATCTTTCAGTGCCAAGATGTCTTCACACTGGCAAGCATAAAGATGTTCAATCAATGCAATTACACGTTTTCAGTGATGCATCAGAAGAAGCTTATGGAGCTGTTATTTATGCAAGGTATGTCTACGTTGATCATGCAGCTACTACTAATATTGTCGCAGCAAAGTCACGTGTTGCACCACTGGCAGCTATGAGCATTCCAAGGATGGAACTAATGGGAGCAGTCACAGGACTTCGATTGGCGGTATCGGTAGCGAATGCAATGCAAGTGTCAGTGAAGCAAGTCAAATTCTGGTGCGACAGCATGAACACACTTTGGTGGATCAGAGGACATAGCAGATGTTTCAAGCCATTTGTTGCAAATCGTGTTGGTGAGATTCAAAACATGACAAACCCTGAGCAATGGAGATATGTTCCCACGAAGGATAATCCTGCTGATCACTTGACAAGAGAGATGGTAGCATCTGCGTTGGCAAACAGTGAGCAATGGTGGAAAGGACCAGAATTCTTGGAAATGGCTGAGGATGAATGGCCTAATAATCAATTTGAGATGTCAATGGAAGCAGTATCGGAGCAGAAGAAGTCTGGTCGTTCAAAGATGAAGTCCGTAACAGAAAATCATGAAGAGAAACAATCATTGTTTGCTGATGCAGTTAGCAAAAAGAAATCTACGACTGGTGAACAAGTGGAACCAAGTAAACTGATGAAAGCGGGTAAGGAGAATTCTTGGTATTTGGATCCTTCTCATTTTTCAAGCTGGCTTCGACTTACAAGACTTGTAGCATGGGTTTGCCGTTTCTTGGACAACTGTCGAACAGCAAAAAAAAGAAAGAATTAATGGAGAATTGACATATGAAGAGATCAAAGATGCAGAAATTCATATCATTCGAGACGTGCAGCAAAATGCATTTGCAACCGAATACCAGCAACTGTTGAAAGGAAAGCAAATGAAGAGTGACAGCAAATTGATTGTGTTACAGCCACGAATCGATGAAGATGGACTTCTACGGTGTAATGGAAGATTGAGGTATGCTGACTTCCTGCCATACGATGCAAAATATCCTATTATTCTACCAAGGAAGAACTGGGTTACAAAGCTGATCGTGAAATTCTATCATGAAAAGGATCATCATGCAGGTGGCACAAATCAGACATTGGCAGCTATTTCGAGTCGTTTTTGGATAATTTCAGCAAGAGAAGAGATAAGAGAATGGGAAAACGAATGCAACTGGTGCAAAAGACGAAAGGCGAGAGCATGCAGTCAGATCATGGCACCCCTACCAAGCATTAGATTGGCAATGTCATCGTGAGCCTTTGAAAGAGTAGCTGTGGATTATGAAGGACCATTCATCACCATGCAAGGGAGAGGTAAGCGAAGAGAAAAACGATATCTTTGTCTTTTCACATGCCTAGTTACCAGAGCAGTACACTTGGAAATGGCATTTGCCCTGGATACTGATTCTTGAATGCCTTTTATCGAATGGTGAGTCGTCGTGGGAAGCCTGAAGAAGTTGTTTCTGACAATGGTGGCAATTTCGTAGCAGCTGACAAGGAGCTACAGGAGCTCGTTAAAAGATTGGACCAGAATCGAATCATCCAGAGTGCTGCAAATCGTGGTATCAAATGGCATTTCAATCCTCCTTTGTCACCACATTTTGGAGGAGCTCATGAAATTATGATCAAGGCAGCAAAACGTGCGTTGAAAGGAATCCTGACAGATGCAAATGT